CGCGGCGGAGAGAGTCGAGGATTATATTATAATTATAATTACCAGAATCTCGTATAGAGGAAAGCTAAGGGAGAACTATAGCTTAAACTTAACTCGAGAGATTAAGATAAATATAATAAAACTAAGCTACCGAATCTCCTATAGCGGGTCCGTCGATAGCGAGTTTAATACGGATAGAAGTATCCTACGTATTATACTTAACGGTAAGACCGGAAAACTTCTCCGGATCGGGAAGGGAGGATTTAGGACGTTTTAACGAAGGAGGTTTAGAAGCGGCGGCGGAAGTAGCGGCGGCGGTTTAAAGATTAGAGATTAACTAAGCTTGATTTTAAATTTAAGTCTAAAGGTTATCGATTATAGAGGTAAATTTAGCTCGAAGTTAATCGAAGGTTTATTAATCTATTTTAACGGAAGGATCGAGAAAGGGAGCGAGGTAAAAAAATTATACTTATTACCTTTACCTAAGAAAGTAGAGAAAGAAGAAAAAATCCGGGAAGGAAATCTAAGGATAGAGTCTTTTTTTTTTAAGAAAGGAATAGATAGTCTCTCGTACTTAGCTTACTATCTAACCTAGAGTAGCCTAATCTCTAGATTATACACTTAGATACGTCCCGTCACCGAGCTATCTATAGAGAGAGATACTTCGAGCTAAGAGTATACTTATAATAAGACCTCTATATAGCTATACGAAAGCACTATGCCTAATTCTTATCTATAGGCCTTTTATAGCAAGGACCTTTAGTATAATAAATTAAATACTCTCTTATTTTATTATTATTGATTACTAAGCTTATAGACTTAGTTCGTCATATTATACTAAAGGTCCTCGCTATAAAAGGCCTATAGATAAGAATTAGATATAGCGCTTTCGTATAGCTATATAGAGGTCTTATTATAAGTATACTCTTAGCTCGAAGTATCTCTCTCTATAGATAGCTCGGTAACGGGACGTACCTAAGTACGTAATCTAGAGATTAGGCTACTCCGGGTTAGATAGTAAGCTAAGTACGAGAGACTATCTATTCCCTTCTTAAAAAGACTCTACCCCCGGATTTCCTCCCTAGATTTTTTCTTCTTTCTCTACTTTCTTAGGTAAAGGTAATAAGTATAATTTTTTTTTCTTTACCTCGCTTCCTTTCTCGATCCTTCCGTTAAAATAGATTAATAAACCTTCGATTAACTTTAAGCTAAATTTGCCTCTATAATCGATAACCTTTAGACTTAAATTTAAAATTAAGCTTAGTTAATCTCCGACCTTTAAACCGCCGCTACCGCTTCCGCCGCCGCTTCTAAACCCCCTTTGTTAAAACGTCCTAAATCCTCCCTCCCCGATCCGGAGAAGTTTTCCGGTCTCGCTATTAAGTACGATACGTAGGATACTTCTATCCGTATTAAACTCGTTATTGACGGACCCGTTATAAGAGATTTAGTAGCTTAGTTTTATTATATTTATCTTAATCTCTCGAGTTAAGTTTAAGCTATAGTTCTCCCTTAGCTTTCCTCCGTACGAGATTCTAGTAACTACGATTATAATATAATCCTTAACTCTCTCCGCCGCGTCTATAATAACCCGAATAAGATTTAAGAAGTAGAGGACCGTCTTCTTTCGATTAAATAGTCTCCCGACGAATCCCTCGCCGTTTATATCGCTAAGTTCGAACGGGTTCTCTACGAAGTAAAAGGATAAGATTAGCCCGACGTTATAAAGATCTCTACTTTCCGTAAAGGCCTTTATAGCTTACTTCGGACTCGCCTTTCTTAATAACTAAATCTTCCGCGTACGTATACGGAATTTGTTAGCATTATTTAATAGCTTGCCGGTTATACTATCTCTATAATATCAAAGCTAACCAACAACGATCGGATGGATCTTACGGTTCTCGAGCCTGATACTAAGTCTGAGGATATCAACGCAATTTTGGACAGTCTTTGTGAATCGTGATCTAGGGACTAGATCGATTTTTACACCGGGGTTATGTCACGACTGACGTCTTACGTCATCGTGCATCGTTCTTATCTGATCTATGATCATATGCCACTCCTTTGTTTGCTACTATGCTACTATGCCTAATTAGGTAATAGCTTGATAGCTACTAAGCCTAATCGGGTAATAGCCTTTCTTTGTCTTCTTTATTGTTTGCTTTAGCGAGAAGGACGGGGTTTGCATCGTTTGCATAGATCTGGCATATATCTAGGGCCTCCAGATCTTGCTTCTCTTTCCTTCCCTTTATCCCCACCTTTAGTATCTTGAATTGAATACTCTCTTGCTTTATCATCATCGATTACTAAGCTTATAGAATTGGTTCGTCACAATAGGCTCTAGGTCTATCTGTAGCTAGTCCTATATCTTCGACGTAGAGGCGGTCGGCGCCTAGAAAGGGTTAGAAAAGACGGACGAAACCCTCCTAAAGAGGGAAATCTAGCTCTATCTAGATAGTACCTCGGTTATTTAGGGGCTACGAGGCAATACGTCCTCTACCTTATAATAAGCCTTTATATACTACTATACGGTTATAGCTCGACGCGTAGTCAAAATCCGTTAGTCCCTAGGATATATAGGGATCGAGGATAATAAAGCGGCTAACGAGCTCGTAAACTATAGCGCCCTCTATAGGCTATAAGACCTAGGGCTATAAGCCCTACCTACGATTAGCGGCATCCGGTCGGTCTACCGCGACCTATAGAACGAGGCCCGCTATAAATAGTAGCGAAAGGCCTCTTCGAAACTTTCCGTCTAGTACTAGCGGTAGTAGGGTATCTATAAGGTTAAGGACCTCCTAGAACTTAACCTCCGCCGACTAACTCTATACCGCTAGCTCGCGCTTAGATCCTCTTATAGGGATTTTAGCTAGTATTACCGGAGATTCCGCTATAAAGATACTAAACTTACCTACTCCTATAGGAGAGTAAAAACCCCGGAATATATCGCGCTCTACCGGAAGGCGTAGCGTAGTTTCGCGAAATAGCTAAGTAGGCCCTTATACCCTCCGTCTAATAGAGCGGATACGGTAGTATATCTTCGTAAACTCGGCCCTACCGAGTTTAGCGAGCTCCTCCGTATTACTAGCTTCTACGCTACTATCTATATAAGGTAGGGGTACCGTACGAGTACCCCTAACCCCCCCCCTCTCTCTCTTTTCCCTTTATATATTTCTCTCCTTTATCCCTATTATTTTTCCCTCGCTCTCTATACCTCTCTCTTTTATTCCTCTTTAGAGCGCCTATAGGCGTAGAATATATAGGGGTACCTCCCTACTCCCGCGAACAGTAGGCACACCGACGCCCGGCAATCGAGCTCTTACTTATTATCGATATAGCGGGTTTTAACCCGATATTAACACTTCTACATCTATCTCAATCGGCAGAGAAGGACGGGGCAGCAACTAGAAGATCCTTAGCCTTATTTTATAAGAGTTGCTTTCTATAGGCGCACAATTACTATACATAACTCCATAGCTTAGCACGTCCCAATTAGACCTGGCACTTACCCGCGGGTGAACCTGAAGAACCTAACCTGAACCTCCATTTGGGCGGGTCAGGTTCTAGGTTTTGGAACCTGAGGGAGGTTCCATCCGAGGACCGAACCTCATCAGGTTGACCCGCGGGTGAACCTCAGGTTAAACAAAGATGACAAACAGTTAAAAAACGTGACTCGGGCTCAGTTGCATAATATATGTCGAAATAGGCTGTATTCCATTGTAACCGTAAACCAAAATTTGATTACTGTATAGCCTTATAGAAGGATACTGTATGTCTAGAATTGCATGTTATAGCTTTATCTTCGATAGGGCTTTTAGATATCAGTAATTCACACCTTATATCTAGAACATAGATTTCCTAGACTTTAACTATTAAAGCTTAAACTATATATCTATCTAAGAGTCTCGACCTCTTCCGCATTCTATCTGATACACGCTGCTACGTATTAGGTAATGGTAATGCTAAGGTCTCTTCTAGATCCGTAATATCATCGGTATCAGAGTCGTCCTCGTCGTTAGAATTAATAGCCGGCCGCTTTCTAGCGGCAACGGCTGAGAGTAGTGCTATGGCCGGGGTATAAAGGTATATCTCTATATCTTCCTTAGTGTCACTAATAGCCTCGGTATAATATATTCCAATATAAAGTTCTTCGGACGAAGCTACGATCTCTTACTCTAAAAGATACTCTTAGAGAACCTATCGCTGCTCCTCCTTAGTATTAAACCTTATTATATATATATATAATATGATATCGCGGATAGTCTCTAGGCTTAACGACCCCCGGCGATAGTGGTAAATGTCCCGGGCAGAGTTAAAAAGACGCTCAACACCGGCACTAGTCGCTAGAATAGATATCATATTACGAGTAATGCTTATAAGAATAGGGAACTCCCTCTCGTGGTTTCTCTAGAAGACCTAAGCGGATTTATTGACGGTAGCTAAGAATATTAGTATAATAATTTATATCGGCGGCTCACTCACTTACCACTCTAGAGGTACTTAGTAAGCTTATCCTGATATAGACTAGTTGATCGCTATAAGGAATTGTCCTTAAGAATCCTCTCGAGCGCTGATTTAGCTAGGAACGATATACTATCCGATAGTGATATATTTGATAGTATACGTAGGCGGTATTTCTCGAAAAGAGACTAGAGGCTCTGACGATATTCCTTTGTGTAGTCTTTTCCTATATTATCTAGGGCCCAATCACTTATTAAAAAGAACTCTATTTTATTAGACGGATCTAGGATCGTTCCAATAGTATAGAGATTACTTTTAATAAGGTCCGTTATACTATAGTACTTTGACAGTTTATCTTTTACAGCCTTAAGGGAGGAAAGTATAAGCTGTTTCTAGGCAACTCTCTTTCGACGAAGCTAATATATCGATCTTTCGAGATGATTAAAGAGCCTATTATAAATACTAAAGATAAGGTGAATACTCGAGTCATTAGTCTGGCAGACTAATATGGTGTATATGAAAAAGGGCTAGAGTATATGAAGTAGATAGTCAATCTACCGCTACCCCTCCGCATTTAATACAAAATGAGGTTGGTAATAGAGCGAATAGTACTTGTTAAAGGTAGTAGAAAGCCTTTTAGCCCAGCGGAGCATAAGAAACGTTAAATTCTACCGCGTACGAATATCTTAGATTAGAATAAGTTTTTGCCTATTAGACTCGAGTTTCAGAAATACTTCTTTACGTTAAGGACTTCTATTAATGAAAACCGTAAGGCCTCGAACCTATTATAATAGTTAGTGTATTAAATATATAGAATTCTATTCAAGAAAAGCCTACCTTATTTAGGGTATCGGTAATATCTTGCTTCTACTAGCGCGTACGTAGTGATCTAATACGATCCTCGGACTATTCTAATTTAGTATTATCATTTTTTAGCGAGGCCTTTATTTTACTAAGCAATTCAACTAGACTTAACTAGATGATATAAGCAAGATAGGGCACTTGAATAATCGTTAAATCCGTCTTTAGCTATAGTTTATAGATTGAATTATTAATCGTAGTAATAAGCGTCTTATTATTAGACGTATTATCAGTTATTACCGCTAGTATATAATCAGTGATTTAATGCTTCTATAGAATCTAGAGAACAATTTTGCTAAGATTTACGCTAGAATGAGTTCTAGAAAGTGGCTTAAACCTAAGGAGGACCTCGCGATATTCCTATTCCTTATCTAGGAAGTATCTTATGATAGCTATAAACGCGTCCTAGAATAGTAAAGTCTAATAGTTAAGTACGAGTGATAGCTTTACACTAGATAGAAGCGTTTGTAGTGTCTCCTATTGATACTATAGCACGAAACCCCGGAGGCGCTCGCGAATCACCTTTCTTAACGGAAAGCTAGGTAGTTCGGGTACTAGCCGTACGAAGGAAAAGAGGTCACGGAATTTTTAATACTCGACAAACAAAAAAGGTAAATTTAATATAGTGATTAGATCAAGAAGCATCTGCTTCTATACTTATTATGTAAAGGTAGGCGCTAGTCTTTTCTCGGCCTATAGGATAGTAAGTTTATCGTTAGTACTAATATAAGATTTAGACCCTATAGAATATACCGCGTTACTAAGTAGTTGTCGGATACTACTAGTACCCTTCTTCGGTAGCTACTTTCAGTACCTTAGCCTATCGAGATATTTCTGCATCGATAAAGTTCTAGTATGATTTGTAGCTAGATACGTGAGAACTATATAGCACTTATTATATATAACGCCTAGCTTACTATCTTTAGCATTTATAACTTATTAGAACCCTTTCTAGTACTCTACTCGACGGTTTGTTAGGTTCCTATCCTAGTTAATCCGCTTTAACTTGCTATAGCTAGTATTAAGCCACCACTTAACGAATTCCGCGGTTATTTCTAGCGCGTAAACAATAAATTCGTTAATACGATCGGGCTTAATTCGCGGTAGGGTACTTAGGGCCTAATAAGCCACGTAAGATCGATAGTCTAGAAGGTCTAGAACTAAATCAAGCTAGCTTTCGGATAGTAGTTAGCTCTAGTTGTCGCGCTAGGATAGGGAATCGTCGGGGAGAAGGTATTAGAGCGCGTCTAATAGTAAACCGTCTGTGGTATCGAAGCTAGACGACGTATAGGCGCCGGAGGGCTAAGATATAATAGATTTAGTAAACTAGTAGAGGGTATGATTACTAAGGAAGAGAATAAGAAACTTACTTATTCGTTCTTTCGAAAAGATACGCGATATTCTTAGGGGATCCGTTTGACCCTATTCTGCGTACTAGAATTGATCTATCGTCTTTTATATCTACCGACCTATATCTAATTGGCTATTATAGTAGATTATTTTAGAAGAGAACCTCGCTTACCCGTATAGAACCTAAAAGTTAACCTTATATATCCGTATAGAACCTAGAACTCAATCTAACTTACCCGCATAGAACCTAGAGGTTAACCTTAAGTTAGGAAAATCGTCTTATTTAAATGGCTAAGTCTAACGATAAGAATCTTTAGACTAGATTCACGATAGATATAGATAATTTGACCTAAACCCTTCGAGACAAATTTATAGAGGGAGGCATAACGATTTGTTTTATATAAAAATAAGGGGATTTTATATATATTTTAGTGGTTTTCTCGATAATATATAGTTCTGTTAGTCAAGATACATATAGGTTACAGTGTTCAAAGTATATATATCTGCATCTTTACATACAATTTCGCCGATGACCTCTACTAACCACCTACCACGTCGATATCATCGAATATTACTTATAATTTATCAGTGGCTTTGTCTTCTATTTACTTCTAAACAATTATTTCTTCATAATTCACCACGTTGACAGAGTAATCAGACGAACGCCGGCAGGTCAACAAAACAGCTGTAAAAATCCGAGATGAATCATCACTTTTATCCAGCCAAAAGAGGAAAAAAGTCAAAAAATTATACATATGCAGGTTCATGTAGGTTGATGAGGTTGAACCTCAACGACCCTCCTTGAGGTTAAGGTTAGGTCCAGGTTAAAAACTTTGGAACCTAACTTCAAGAGGTTAGGTTCAGGTTCTGAGATTTGGAACCTATGGGCGGTTCAAAGCCAGGTCTAGTCCCAATACCCCTAGGGAGGTAGTAGAGGAACGGGCTACGCCCGTTCGCTCATGGACGTTAATTAGAACAACAACAACAACAACAGCCAAGACCTTAGTGCAAATAGAACATTGAGCAAGCCGCATTGAAAAATAATGAGCAAGAAGGAAATGCTTGAATATGGTCCTGCATTCTGCCAGGTGTTATTAAATCATTCAAGATTAACTCATACTATATTATATGGCAGCTTAATACAGGTTGCATAATATTGCGACCCTCACCTTGATGCGGCTTGCTCAACGAATGCGGTAAAGCCTTGCCGGCGGGGCCAGGGAAGAGTCGGTCAAGTCGATTTCGAGAATTACTGTAATCTCTAAGCAGAAAATTAAAACTGTTCTCAAATGAGGGGCTGATGACCGATTCAATGTTAGTATGTGGCTTTCAAGATATATCGCCTAGTTGCGGGGGCAGGAGGTAGATGGGTACAGAAATATTTGGCCGCGATCTGAGCACACATCCCTCACATTTAGTCCGAAAACCATAGTGCCATTTTCCATCATCAATTCAAATAATGTCACACACGCTCTCCAAGATCAAACGGTGGTATCTTGATTGACATGTGCTTAGCACAACAAGATTCAGCTCCAATCAATGTGGTTCATTACGTATAATCTAGTTAAAAAGATAGAAACGATGCATTTTAGAATATCGTAAATTTTGATATTCCCGTTGAGGATAAAATAATATTGGAAACCAAACGTAAGGAGACTGCATCACAGTAGACTAATGGCAGATGGTACTCGGGCACAGACGCTGTGAGACTACAAACAGGACGCGCAAAGGCTTTGAAAAGCCAGGCCATCATAAATTGATGCTTAAAAAAGATTGATTGCATATTTTAGCCTGGAAGCCGGTATTTTTATTTGAAGTATTGCCAATAGGTAATTTACGAAACGCGGAATTCGGTTGTAGATGGTGGTCAGAACAGGATGCACTCCTTGTGAGGACCTTGCAAGCCCCGGATTTACATGTCGAATTATTTTGCCAATACAGTATCTACAGCTCAGTCGAGTTTCAAGTCAAGGTATGGTTGTTTCATATTGGCCCAAGAGAAATAATGGGACAGAACTTGTTCCATGTCTATTCACACATACACAATTTAACACGGCTTGCTCTACATAGTCCGTCTAAAAGCTGGAGATTGGAGCCACTTTAGTCCTGATTTGGGCGACCACCCTTCGGTAGCTGTAGCCTACCTCCAGCTCGGATGCATATCAGTCTTCACCTCGAAGCAGGCCCTAGAACGCCTCGTAGGCGCATCTGGGCTAGACGCAATTCGAGCATTCCGAGCTCCCTGTTTATTTAATATTTCGAAGTCTGGCAGCTTTCAGCGCCACATTTCCATTTATTACTCTGAGGTGGGTTACGTACATGGGTTGGCCAAGTGGGAGATCCAGGAAATAAAACACTTGCCCAGCAATAGATGCGGATGCGGCCCCGGCCCTTGGCGCATTTTGTGTCACTTGCGAGAGTATCATTTGCTCTGCATCTTGATTAGTGTTTAAACCTTCACAAATCCTTGGTGCCAGCCACAAACTACAAACAATGGTGACAAATTTGAAGGCATGGCTTTCAACAGGCCTCAGTTAGTTTAGGCACCCAGGGCCCTCCATTTTCTGCTACCAACTAGGTCTTTTAAGTAACTGGACAAGCCTAGAGGGCTATAAACTCCTCCCCTACCCCTTTTAATTACAGGATAATTTGTGGACCACTTAATAGTCGAGCAGGCCTTGCGCTCAAGGCAACCTCGGAATTTCTTTCTTTTTCGCAAGTCTACTTTTTTAAACGTCTGCGAGCTTCTCATTGATTTTTGACCAAGACCGTTTTGGTTCTCCTTTACATCATCTCAAATTCTATCCTTCCAAGCCCGATTGCCATGACGGGGATAAAACCTACCCCTGGCTGTTCAGACATTGGCCCCGAGTTTCAACGCCTGAAGGCCGTCAGGGAAATTTCTCTCAATGCAAAACTTGTGGCTTTTGTCGAAAAAGCTCATTCATCATTTCAGTCACGAGGACGTTTCAAGCAGCGGGATTGCTACAAGAGATCTCTCCTTCATTATGCCGCTATGGGGAACTGTACAAACCTCCTTCTATATCTTCTGCAAAGCAAGCCAGATGTTGATTCTCGTGACCAATGGGGGCGGACAGCACTCTCTTGGGCTGCCCAATATGGCTCATTGGCTGTAGCGAATATTCTACTGGAACAAGGGGCAAATCTCAATGCCTCGGATTATGAGGGTGGCACACCGTTGACATGGCTGATACACGCCGGCAACCCTGAAATGATAGACATAGCGGCTACCGAGGCTTACCTAAGAGAGAGGGGCGCGAAAGAAGTCAAATTGAGAGGGATCAAGTGGGCCTGGGTTTGGGTTTTGAGTTATTCTCGTTTACTCCGATACATTCGCCCGCGTATCTAAGGCCCCCTATGACATGGAGAATCCTGATTCTGTACTAAGGCAAAATGTATATCAGATGAACGTCATAGTTAGGGCAGCTGGAAAGCACTGTAGCGAGAGGTTGGGCCATCCGATGTCACACATGTTTTCTTTCTTTCGTGTGAATTTGGTCTTGTTGAAGTAGAGACAAAAAGCAAGCAAGTTTATTTGAGTATAATGGATATGCGGATATATATTTCATTAGTAAAAACCCTAGTCTTGCCTGGCAATACAGAGCTGTAGGGTAAGGGTACACGTACTCGTTTCCACTTTAGCCCGTAGGCGGGCCGGTACATTCGACCCCGAACTGCCTATTACAGGGCTTTGAGTTCATGATCATTCGTACTGCCATATTCTCGGCTGTTTCAAGTAGCACAAGTCTTGGAACCATTTTTTAGTATGGCAAATGCCCCGAGCGATATTTGGGAGCAAGATAAGACGACATATTGATTGTCTATTTTATTGAAGCTATAACTAAAAGTAAGCCATCTTGTTATGTAATAAATATGATATCATAATGTCCTAGTGCTGACTCCGCGTACTAGTGACTATGCCACGGCTCTCCGTGGTAGGGTAGTATGCAGTTTTAGAGCCAGTCTAATTCTTCGAGGTGAACCACAATGGTAGAGATTTGGTAGATTCTCCATAAGTCTTGGCATTAACCAAGTAAACACACGATCCTTCTCCCACGCGCTTCGAACGAGTTACTGTATAGAGATGGCATTAATAATATGCACTTCTTGATATTCTAACCACGGCAGAGGTCTACCGTATTCAAAGGACAGATATAGCTTTCTTACTCACGAGCACGCATGTCCATGGTATCGCTGGCATAATCAACAAATACGTTGGAGCGGTGTCACTTTAATCGATGCATAATTATCTTTCAAGTAAAGTAACGTTCAATGTGAATGAGCCAACCCAAAGAGCTTTGTCCTTAGCAAGCTCGACGGGTTTGGTTAGGCAGCGTGAGGTGGGTGCTATTATTTTGTACATCAGACAAATCCCGGTGACGTTCCATTGTATTTCATGTGGAAAAGGGTTCTTCTCGATCTAGGGGGTAGTGTGCCTTTATGGGCACCGCAGTGCGGTCTTTGCCAGTTCATTCAAAAAGTACTGCGTTCTCATCCCATCACTTAATCGGCGCTTCTTAGCATTCTTCATCTTCTTCACACCATGACAGAATAGAAGTCGCTCTCTGTTTGGTCCCTTTGCCTTGTTGTAATGCACTGAGGTTCGATGGACTCGGAGTAAGAGCGACTTCAGGAGGACTATAAGGACTATAATAAATATACCCACTGGATCATTTCCTTCTCAACCAGTAGGCAAACCTTCAGAGAGCATACAGAGCAGCCCATATATAATTGAAAACAAGAGATGCTCCATTTCCTTAACCCAGAAGGCGAGAAGCTAAAGTTCTACTATAACAAACCCGAGGGAAAAGCTTGGATGGTCTTCCTTTTGATCGAGGCCCGTGTTGCACCTCTCCTCGTCGCACCATTACTCCTCAGGTAATCTATTGTAGCTGCTTGATTCGGGCCCCTACCCGTCTGTATCAGCCATGACAAGGGTGTTGTATACATATCGTCCATGGAATTGATCTCCGCTCCATTGTCCAGCAAAATCTTCACCGCACGCAATGCGCTGTATTGCGCGGCCCAGGAGAGTGGCGTCCGCTTGTTCTGGTCGAGGTCATCCTGTGCTGTCCCGTCTTGGAGGAGATAACGAAGGAGCTCGACACAGTCACCCATTGCAGCATAGTGAATGAGAGACCTTTTGGAAGGCCCTCGTTTGTTGTATATACCTTGGTATTTGAGTGTTGCCTGTGCATCGTGAAGAAACGCCATGACGTCTTCATCAAAGCATATCTCTCTAATGCCTTTTAGGTGTTGAAATTCACCACCAATGACAGTCATGGAGCGAGGAGGAATTACCATAGTGATTGTAGGTAAGCCGAGAAGACCACGAGAAGACCGTATGAAGAGATAACTCTCTGATTTGGTCGCTAGGGAAGCGGAAAGATGGGAATTTCTATATATGCCGGGATCGTCCGCTTTATATAGCAAGTGTCCAAAATGTACACTACTCTCATATGCTAGAATGGGCCAGTGCGGAATAGTCGATTGCATAGTCGACGGATATTATCAGTTTGTATGATTTTTTTTTTGCCTGCACTAGGTAGACTTTTTTTTATCTTTAACGATGTATCAAGTCACTTAGGATTGGCAACCCGAATTCAAATTCAAGGTTATAGATTCGGTATTTAAAAAAGGAGGGTGCTAGAAAAACAATAAAATAAGGCCTATCTTTTCCTTCGGTCGCTTTTTAGTGTGAGTATCAAGCCTGATGAACAAAATAACTGGTCTGATATCGAAGTTCTAGCCATGGTCTGGAGCCTGTACATCAGTGGTGCCCAAAAGTGGGGCCTGATATTATTATATGCTTTTATTGGTGACCTCACGCAGTCAAGAGGAGCAAGAAGAGTGTAGTTTGGCCATAACGGGTCACCTGTCGCTGCGGTCGTAGACCGTAGCGTCAGATAGGGCCCGTTCGCGCTCCCCTTGTAGGGAGGCAATATGTCTGTATTGTAGTGGATTCTATATACAGAGGGAAGGCGGGAGGGACAAAATCAAGACTTGACTGCGTGAGAGATGACGAGCTACCTGCAGAGGCAAGCAACTGACTCGTGAGGCAGTTGTAGGAGGAAGAGGCCCTCAGTAATGTCGGTGTAGATATCACGTGAGGCTACGGGCATTGTGAGGCAACCCCAATAAAACTACTCCCTTTACACCGCATATAAGTTGTGAACATTTGTCCGTTTATATCAAGTTATGACTATCGGCGGGCTAAGGAGTTGAGGCGAGGTTTCCCGAATGTTTCTAGCAATGATCGGGCTTCCAGAATTTCGTACATTTTGCTGATGGCCATTCAATTCTGGGGCTAATAGATTGTTAGGATTTATAGAGAGTTCAGCAAGATTGAGCCGGAAGAACTATCTGCTCAAGGCCCTTTCATAATCACTTGCAAGTTGCAAATACTGGCTGCAATCCTTCTTGTTCTGGTCAGTTCGTCTGTGAGCGACCCAATGTTAGATTACCTGATAGTGTCTACAGTTTCCACTCTAAAACCGTAGAATGAGATTACAGCGTGCCGTGCGATTCTACCCTTCACCTGACATCACCCCTGCAACAACCCTGACGTACTAATAGCGCAAAACGAGCAGAACAATTGACACGAGTCTTACACAATGGTGAGGGATTTTAGTACAAGCGAACTATCAGAACGATTGATGGAAATATCGTGAATCTTGTAGCAATATTGGAGGGAGATGTGCGTGAACTAACTACGTAATTTGCTGGACCTTGACTACATACTATCTACATGTACACATCACGCATCAGAAATCCTGTGGGAATCAAGCAATGTCTCTCGCCGCCAGGAGATGAGATGAAGCTCGCGGGGTAAGCCACCATAAACTGCATAGTGTCACCGCTATATTATTTTAGAGGATCCCAACTGATTCTGGCATGCTCCGAATGCCAAAGCCCAGTGGTCACGAAACGACAGATTTAGGAATGTAGAAATATGACAAGGTTCAAAACATGAAGTGTTTAGGTCCAAACACGAAATCAATTCCAATCTTGATACCAGAGATAAATATTGCGTGGGGAACATGAGGATATGAATGTAATTTCTGGAGGGCAGATAGTTTCACAATAAAACTCACAACAAAAGCACGGCATAGGGCCGTAGTAAACGATCCATTATTATGCAAGCTCGGTTTTTCTACAGTTCCTCTTCTTGGTCTTCTCTCTGGTTACCTAGGCGCTGGGAACCCATCTGCTGGTTGTGACCCTGTTGAGTCTGGGGTTGCTGGTAAGACCCAAAGAGAGAATTTTGCGCGGTCTGCTGGGCGGGGTGCTGGTTAGATCCGAAGAGAGATCCTTGGGCAGGTTGCTGCATCTGAGGTTGCCGGTTAGACCCATAGAGAGACTTTTGCGCAGTCTGCTGGTTGTATCCAAGAAGAGATGGTTGTGGAGTTGTGGGAAGTCCAAATTCAGGAAGCTGCGAAGAATTTTCGCCAGACTTTAAACTTAGGCCAGACAAGCCTGAAATAGCATCTTTCAAAGCAACATTAGAATCACAAGTCAAAACTTCTGAAATGAGTCTATCGGCTTCTTGTGCCGAGATAATCTTTTTGAGGGCCGATCGCGAGAGGCCAACCTCCTTTAAGGGGGGATTTCCATTGGGACCTTCATAAAAGAAACCAACTAGCGTGAAAGGAAGCCCATCATGCATGGGATCTACCTCACCAACAGCTACCCAATTTAGGCCGTATGTGCCACCAAACTGCGTTCGAATGAGGTTGCGAAGGCTTATCAGTGCCTCATCCCCTCGAAGGGTGTCAGGGACTCCGGCAGACCTGGCTCCATCAATAGCGAGCTGGCCCCCAGTAGCAGAGCTTGACATAAGACGTATTCTACCCCTACCGTCCTCGACTACGAAGCGCGCACCCATGATGCCAAGTTGTTGGATCATACGTATCCTCTCTCCAGTTGATGTGTACCCGGGACTAATCGAACGTACAACCTGTCGAGGTGCCAAAGCGATTGTTCTTTTATTGCTGCCAGTAGAGACATGTTGTAGCTGACGGCCTGCTTGGTTCGAGCCAGCGTAAGAAGTCGACACTTGGTTTGATTGAGGTTGTGAAGCTGATGGGTGAAAGCTGCCCGTCGCCTTTTGAAGATGTGTAAGATCGGCCCACTCTTTTGGATAATGAAATTGGTCGCAGTACTTTTTAATCACCTGCATCTGAGAAGGTACCAGCTCCGGTGACAGAAAAATGGGTCTCCATGACCCCAAAAGTTCCGTATAGCGGATGATGCCGAGTTCGGGGTCTTTCTTCATTTGAAGATTTCCATGTTTTATTTTCTTGTTGATTTCATCGAGTACTTCAGCCGGCTTTCGGATTTCCTCAGGAACAGGTCCTTGGTGAATATTGACAGTGGGGTTATTCTGAAGGCCAACGTAAAGTAACCCTATGTGCTGTGTAGCTTCCTCGTGGGCGGCTTTGTGATATGAACATAGGTCCTCCTCAACATGTGGCTGGGACGCAGATCCTCCGAATAGGGGGGTCGTCAGGTTGTCAGGTTGTCAGGTTGTCAGGTCGTAATTTACTAGTTGCTCCTAGTAGGTCATAGTAGGGGGGTAGTAGTAGGGTGTAATTACTAATAGAAGGTAATAAAGATAAATTACGACCGAGCGAGCTGTCAGGTTGTTAGGTGTGGCTAACTAGTAACGTACTTAGAGTTACTAGTAAACTTGGAGCTACTAGTAAAACGTCCCTAACAAACTGTCGCTCGTATTTTATCGGACACCTAACAGCCCGCCGGTTTGATATATAAATTACCTTATAGCTCCCTTTAGATTATAGGTATTACTAGCTATTACTAGTAGAGTACCCGTATTAGTATTACACCCTCTAGGTTGTAATACTAGTTATTACTAGTAATAACTAATTAACTAAAGCTGTTAGGTATATTTCGTATATTATAAGTAAAATATAATAATGTTTATTATAGATTTATACCTACTACTAGTTATTACTAGATAGCTATAGGTATTGTCGAATATAGTATAATTAAAATTCTACTAGCAGCTACTAGTAATAAGAAATATATCAAATTATAGATATTTATAAGCTAATGCTATAAATATCAGAGATACTAGTTTCTAATAACAATATATAGTTTTAGGCTACTACTAGTATTACTAGTAGTGACCGGTCGTTATTAACTATTACTAATAGTACCCTCTTCGACGAGGGATACTCGGAGTACTTGTACTAGACCGGCGGTAGCTATTACCTAAGAGGAATAATAGCCCGAGTAGGCGGCTAGTTATAATTAGTTTTCTTTATTTCTTTTTTATTAAAATTGAAAATGATATAGACCAATGAAGCCCTTTGACGTTCTGACCAATTATTACTAGGAGTTAGTGGTTAATAGAAGTTATAATTAAAAATGATATGGCTTAATAGAGCCCTTTGACGTTCTAACCAATTATTACTAGGAGTTAGTGGTTAATAGAAGTTATAATTAAAAATGATATGGCTTAATGGAGCCCTTTGATCCTTTGATATGTATATTTCTCGTTAGCTACCGAGTATCATATGGCTCAATAAAGCCCTTTGACGTTCTAACCAATTATTACTAGGAGTTAGTGGTTAATGGAAGTTATAATTAAAAATGATATGGCTTAATGGAGCCCTTTGATCCTTTGATATGTATATTTCTCGTTAGCCACCGAGTATTATATGGCTCAATAAAGCCCTTTGACGTTCTGACCAATTATTACTAGGAGTTAGTAGTTAATGGAAGTTATAATTAAAAATGATATGGCTTAATGGAGCCCTTTGATCCTTTGATATATATATTTCTCGTTAGCTACCGAGTATTATATAGCTTAATAAAGCCCTTTAACGTTCTGACCAATTATTACTAGGAGTTAGTAGTTAATAGAAGTTATAATTAAAAATGATATGGCTTAATAGAGCCCTTTGATCCTTTGATATGTGTTGGCGGATCGAGAACAGGCAGTTGTGGAGAAGTAATATTGATTGAAACTGGAAACTGGAGAACTGGGGAGAAAAGAGAAGAGAGAGAGAACTACAGAGAGAGATGCAGATATGGAGACATGGAGTGGGGCGAACATGCAAACATGCAAACATCAACCACTAGCCTGACAAAACAGGCAGCCATACAGGTCACATGACCAGAGGCTCCAACACCCCCCCTCAGGTTAGTAATCCTCCTCAGACAAGACAGGCGCTCTTCCCTACCCCCCCCGTAGAGAATAACAAAACAATCACTTCTTCTTTGAAGATTTGGAATCCTTCTCCGTACGCTCCGCACGCGCCTTCGCGTAGCACCAGATATTAGAGAACGGCTCCCATCCTTTAGAAACAAAATCTTCAAGCAGATAGAAACAAGTCTTAGCAGGGTGGCCCTCGGCACCACAGTGAGCACATTTAGCACCATTGATATATTGCGGCTGCTGATCACGTTAACGCTTAGCCCAATCATCAATGTCCTGACCTTTCGAAGGTGCTCCACGTAGCTGCTCCTCGGGTTCCTCTTCGACTTCTTTATCATTATCTTCTTTATCATCTTCTTTATTAAACGGCTTCCGGTAGTCGTTTCTACGTCCAATACGGCCTCTACGACCGCGCTGTCCACGTCCGCCGTGAGAAGAAGAACCACGAGATCGAGATACCTTAGCCGTCGAAATCGTTTCGTCCGCTTCCGTAATCGAGTTCGCTTCAATCGCGAGTTCTTTATAATATTCACCAAAGTCATCTATCGTGATTTCCGTAGGAACTTGACGTTTTAAAGTATCGAGAGTAAAGTTCACGCTCGGGAGTTCGCCACGAAGCGCGTCGAGAATAACGTAGAGTGCCGTAAAAGGGTGCGGCGCTACTCCGTAACGTCCGAGGACGTTAAACTAACTCTAATATGCCATAACGTAATCCTTTACCGTAGAGAAGTTGTCACGTTTTAACTTAGCGAATTTCAAAGCTTCTAAACCAACGTTCATAACTTTATTATCACCGCTCACAATCCGGGTAATTTCCTTTATTAAGTCGTCGGCGTATTCCGGGAATTGTTAAATCGAGCCTTCGAGAGTCGTAGTAATCTTATTATCAATCCTCGAGGAAATCTAGCTAAGAATAGACACCGACTAGTAGAACTAGGTATCGTACGTCGGGTCGTCTTCCGCCGGCTTCGGAATATTAAAATTCACTACGTTCTCGATTCGAATCATCCGTAAACCATTCGTAATTTCGCGCTTCTAGCGTATAAAGTTTAATCCATCAACCTTTAAAACACATATCTTCGGGTATTGCACGTTAGTAACCGCTTTTAAGCGAGTTCCTTAGGTAACGGGAAGTCCCGGAGTCGGTTGGGTAGATCGGTCCGGTACGGGTAGCTGTCGGGAGCTCTCACCCCGCAAACCAGAGTTTGACTTATCAGTCATTTTGACAAATCAGGTTGCTTCAAGCGAACAGTCGCGAGTAGAACAAAGAGAAGTTTCGAAGACGTCAACGGTCGCTACTAGCGAACAATCGCGAGCGAGAAAAGTAAGGTCTTCGAAGAACCAGGGGTTACTTCTAGCGGACAAATCGCGAGCAAAACAAAGAATAAAGTGGGTCGCTTCAAGCGGACAAATCGCAAGCGAGACAAACAAGACAAATAGGGTTGCTACTAGCGAACAATCGCGAGTAAAGTGTGGGGTAAAAGTGGGTCCGTGAAAACTCTACAGATCAATCACGTGATGTCGTCACACAAATAACGTCACCAAAACAAAGACACCAGTCTCACCACTTCGAGAACTGATGGAGTCTTAGTAAGAAGAACAAAGGGCTCAGAACCTGTTGGCGGATCGAGAACAGGCAGTTGTGGAGAAGTAATATTGATTGAAACTGGAAACTGGAGAACTGGGGAGAAAAGAGAAGAGAGAGAGAACTACAGAGAGAGATGCAGATATGGAGACATGGAGTGGGGCGAACATGCAAACATGCAAACATCAACCACTAGCCTGACAAAACAGGCAGCCATACAGGTCACATGACCAGAGGCTCCAACAATATGTATATTTCTTGTTAGCTACCGAGTATCATATGGCTCAATGAAGCCCTTTGACGTTCTAACCAATTATTACTAGGAGTTAGTGGTTAATAGAAGTTATAATTAAAAATGATATAGCTTAATAAAGCCCTTTGACGTTCTGACTAATTATTACTAGGAGTTAGTGGTTAATAGAAGTTATAATTAAAAATGATATAGCTTAATAGAGCCCTTTGATCCTCTTTAATATCTATATTTCTCGTCAGCTACCGAGTATTACAAATTATTTTTAGATCGAATATAATAGTAATATAATAATAATAATTATTATATAAAATCACTTATCCTAATTTATAGAAGCGACTATCTATATCTAGTTACTACTATATATTACCGGTTGCTACTAGATATACCTAGAATAGTAAAGTTTCCGAGGGGATACTAGTAGCAGAGTAATCGACGGGGTAGACGCCTAGATAAATAGATATAAGTTGAAGATTTTAGTTATTACTCTATATAACTATAAGTTACTAATATCATTTAGTCGCCGAGTTCGAATCTACAAATATTCGCGATATAAAAAGTATAGATAGCTAATCCGAAACGCTATTATTATAAGTTAATCTTCTATAATAATATTATTAGTTATTACTAGTTATTACTAATAGCGACTGATTTAGACGATTCCTACCTATTATACCTTATACCCCTACTACGGTTATATTCCTAAAGGGAAAGGAAAAGCCGCTAGTATCCGGAAGCATATTAGAAATAAGTATATTGTTAGTAATTACTATATACTTACTAGCTATAACTAGGGTATTACTAGTAAGAAACTAACTATATCTATAGGTAAAGAATAGAGATCGCTATAGTAACCTCGAAGTTGCCGTAGGAGTCCTAGGGGGCGGTTAGGAGTAAGTTATTACTATTAGTAACTACTTATAATTAATCATTACTAATTGTTACTACTTCCTAGGTCTAATCGTAAAGCTTTTACTAGCGATAACGCGGATAGCGATCAAGGATCTACCGGTTCCGATAATTCTAACGACGATAGTAGCGTTGGTCCTAGCCCTACGACGAAGGCCGCTACTACTACTAAGGCCGCTAGTAGTAAGGCCGCTGGTAGTAAGGCCGCTGGTAGTAAGGCCGCTGGTGGTAAGGCCGCTGGTGGTAAGGCCGCTAGTAGTAAGGCCGCTAGTGGTAAGGCCCCTGCCGGTAAGGCCCCTGCCGGTAAGGCCCCTGCCGGAAAAGCCCCTACTAGAAAAGCCCCTGCCGGTAAGGCCCCTACCGGTAAGGCCCCTACCGGTAAGGCCCCTACTAGTATAGGCCCTGCCGGCAAAGCTCCTGCTGGTATAGGCCCTGCCGGTAAAGCTCCTACTAGTGTAGGCCCTACCGGTAAGGCCCCTGCCGGTAAGGCCCCTGCCGGTAAAGGTAAGGGAAAAGCCGTAGCTATCGGTAATAGTGATAGTGCGGGTGATAGTGATGGTAATGGTGATGGTAATAGTGATGGTGATGGTGATAGTAGTAGTGATAGCGATAGCGATAACGAAGAGCAAGGGGAAGAGGAAGAGGAAGACGATAACGATACCTAGTTATTATTAGTAATATCGGGCGATAACTAGTTATAACCGTAAATAGTTAGTAGATATTTGTTTTATATTTTATATATTCGTTTTATATCGTTATAGTTTCTTTAAGTTATATACTACCGCTAACTACTAAGAATAGAATAGGGCTAATTATAAAATCTTATAAAGAATTATAATATAAGTACTACTAGTAATAACTAATAATAACTAGATATAACAACTAATAACTCTAATCCTATAAAGTATATCTCCCTTCTCTTTCACTAATCTATCTGTTTAATCTTCTTAGTTATACTCTTTATCTAGGCCTAGAAGCTAGCTTAGCTTTCTTATACCTACTATAGTAGTTACTCTTTAGTAGGTGCTTCTTCTTATAACTAGGTATTACTAGTAGTTACTAGTGACTAGGTATCACTAGTAGTTACTAGTGACTAATTATTAGGATCACTTATACTTATAGTAATATATAATCGGGTATACTTAATTAGGCGAGTAGAGGCTAGAAACTATTAGTAATATCTAGTAATAAATAAGAATTATAACTAACCTTTAGTAGGAACTATACTAGATTTCTTCTTTTAAGGGGTCTTTATACTTACTTATGCCTTTCCTTTTATAGACTTTTTAATCGTAGTAGTTATTTGCTGTTAAGGGCTATTAGTAATAGTCTTATCTACTAGTAGTAGTTAGTAATAGATACTAATAATAGATAGTAATTAGTAATAGGATTTATTATCTTACTCTTCCTCTTCTTTATATTTCGAACTATCGGAGTAGGAGATATAATAGTAAGATTATCTTTATTATCGGTAACTAGTAATTATTAGTAATCACTAGGTATTTATACCTATAGATAATTATATATACTAATAATTAGAGTTTTGCGGTTTACCCGAGATATTAGGGTTAACGAGGTAGATATAGGACGTATACCTATACTAATAAAGTGCCTTACGTCTTTTAATGTCTATTTATTATATAGGCGGGCCCTAATATTATTAGTTATTATAGATAATCACTAATTATTACTAGGTATTAAACTTACGATTAAATCGCTTAGAATAGGGAAAGGTAGGTTCTAGTCTCCCTATTAATATATACGTATAATACCTCTAAAAGATTAGTATTAGGTAGGTATTAGCGGTAGCGATTAGTCGGTATCTTTAATATAAAGCAATTTAATCCTATAAGAATCTATAGTATCGCTTTATTAGTAGCCTATATTATAACTCCGGGTAATAGGGAATAACGTAGTATATCTAGAATTATCTATACCTTATTAGTAGAAGCTATAAGTAACCGAGTTATTATAGTAAATACTAGTAGTCTACGGAATTTTTTAATTAATCTATAGAAATAGACGTAATAGAAGATAATAATATACTAGATTTATTTTCGCTAATCTCCGAACTAGGCTATAGTAGGCTATTCCGCGAGAAAATATCCGAATCCTAAAGTAATTATTAGTAATATATAATAAAGACTAGATATTCCTAGTTAGAAGTGAAATATTTACCTACCGCCTACTTCGGGTATATATCCGTAATAATAGCTTTAATACTAGTACTATCTAGATAGTACTAGTAGAGCTTTAAGACGGCTCTTACCTTAATAAGTAGAAAGAGTATCTAGAACAGACGGTAATATACCTCTATAGAGTCCGAATTTATAAAAACACGGGCTAATATATATACTATATAAATATATTAGTATAGGCTAGTAACTACTAATAATAGAAGGGAATTATTAGTAGTTACCGCGATTAAGAATAATATCCTTTAATCTAAATATAACCTCTATAATCAGTCTATTAATACGCTTAAACGTTATATCTATCTAGAAGAATTTAACCTAGGTAAAATACTTAGCCTATTTACTAGTAAAATAGATAATCCGTAGATTCACCCTATTATTATAGAACTCTTAGATATAGGTATTATCGGGGTTAGACTTATAATACGTAAGATACTCGAAGAGGGTAGCTAGTAATAGTATAGTTAGTAATAGGTCGTTATTACCGGTAATAACTAATAATTACTACGAATCCTAGTCCTAGTAATATTCTATAGGACCTTCTTCTTTATAATCTACGCCTTAATTAGGTCTCGGTTCCTAAGTAATATATATAACTACGTAATCGATATTATATCTCGCTCTCTTAGGAAGTCCTTAATAACCTTTGATCGAATAAAGCTAGCTATATTATTTAATTAGTAACTACTAGTAATTACTAGAGATTACTAGTAGGATAATACTTACTAGCCGTTAAGCCGCGAAGGTCTATCTTTCTAAGTAATCCCTAAACGTTGCCTTTAATAGCTATAGGTATATAGTATAGAAGAGGGGGTAGATAGGTATATTTACCCTAAGATATAAAAATCATATATAGTATAGCCGATAGATCCTTCGGTACTAGAAATATAAAGCTTATATCGTATAAAAGCAGGATCGATTCCCCTTCTAACTTATAAAAAGCTATTATAACCATTAGCTACTAGTAGGGACTAGTAATAATATAATAAAAATAGGGACTTACGATAAAACTTCGCCCGCGACCTCGCTATTCCGAGGTATACGTACTTATTTATAGCGTTAACTAGTAGGGGCGCCGTTCCCTTATATAATAAGCGGAGATAATTACTATTAATACCGCTTATAAGAGAGAGTATATATCTAAAGTACTCTTTTCTATTATTATATCGCTACTTAGAATACCCGACTAGAGGATATTGCTATAAATATAGATTAGTAATAACTAGTAATAACTAGTTATAGCTAGTTATAATTACTTATATAGTTTTCTAATTGCCTTATAACTATCCTACCCCCTTAGTACTATATTCTATATTTATATATATAACGCCGACGAAGTCCCTTAAAATACTACTAAGTCTACTCTTAGGTCCGGTTCTTATTAGTATACTATTAGCGATTACGAGTAATCGACTCCTATTAAAGCTCGATTTGTTCTAGTAGCCTCCCGGTAATAGCTATATAATTAAAGATATTCCGAAGAGCTTCTAGTAACTTCCGGTATATACGAGTACTAGAGTAGGTCTAGGTTTTAAAGTTATATTTAATACCACCTAATTCTAGATAGATCTTTTCGCTATACTACGCCCTATTATTATTTGCTCGGGTATTCTTACTATATTATATATTAGAATAGAGCTAACTAGTAGTATCTAGTAATAGATATACTACGTTAATAATATACGCGAATCCCTCGGCGTTACTACGAGGATACTCTAGTAGATATAACGAATAGAGAACGTATCGGGTAGTTCGAAATAACAATTTTCCGCTAGTAATAATCTAGAATCCTTAGTTATAATCGGAAATAACCTAGGAGAGCTCGGAGCTATTAATCGCGATCGGTAGGTCGTCGGAGTATTTAGATTCGTCGAGATACGAGGAATAGTCGCTAGTATCGTAGATCTTATAGATCTTAGATCGATTAGTTAGTAGAATCAAAGGGTTATCGACCTAGTTAGCCGTAAGGGTAGCTATTAATAACTAGAGAGACGTAGTAAGAAAATATTAATAAGTAACGAAGTAGAACGAGGAAATAGGAAGAGAAGTAGATTATTATAACTATAAGTTAATAATAAGATAAGATAAGATAGGGTACTAACTACTAGTAGGAGTATAGTTATTACTAGTAGTAAATAAGAATATAGGAACTAGTAGGCTTAATATATACTACTAAGAGATATATATATCTTAGTTACTACTAACTAATTAGATATAAATATATAGAATAATTAGGTATATAATCTTTAGGTCGCTAGTAATTACTAGTAACTAAGCGTAGCTAGTAGTAGCTTACCTATAATTTATAGAAATCCGTAATAAAAATTACATTACTATAATCTTCTTAATTAAGAGCTCTAAAAAAATCTATAATATATTAGGTAACCTCTAAGAATTTATAGTAATTATTAATTATATTACCCCTTATAAGAGTTGCCTATATATATAATAATCCGGTTTACTCCCTTAAAAATAGTCCTCTCGCTTATTTTCTTTTCTCTTCTTCTTCTCTCCTATATTCACCTATATACTAGTATATCCCCCCCTTCCTCCTTACTCCTAATTGTTACTAGTTATTACTCCCTATTATAAGGGAGTATATAATCGGAATATAACTTTCCTTTATCTAGGTCTAGTATCTAGGCTATTTATAGAGTTATATAATATATACGATACGAGATAATTAGCCGAGTAGACTATTAATTATAATCTAGGTTTAAGCTAATATATAGTTTGAATTTCTAGTTCGTCCTACTAGTAGTTACTACTAATTACTAACTATTACTAGTAAAGGCAATTACTCGTTATATATCTTACTACCCCTTCTACAACTATTCTCCGTAAGTCCCTTTATTACCCTTTTTACTAGTTGCTACTAGTAGCTAATAGTCGTTTCTAGTAGCAATAGATCCGGAAAGACCTTTAGGTAGTTTCACTCTAGTAGTACGATTAGAAAGTATATTAAAGAAAGCTACTATATAAGTTATTATCAATTTACCTTTATCCTACTAGTTATTATTAGTAGTTACTAACTACTACTAGGGCACTAAAGGGTTTATCGGTATATATATCCTAAGTAATAGGGTTCTAGAAAGAGAACGCGTTTTGTAAGTTACGACTAGTTATTCGCTTAGTTATTACTAGTAGTTACTAATAGTTACTAGTACTCCTAACGAAACTCCTACTAAGGAAGACTTAGACGCCGAAATTAATAATACCTCTTAAGCCAAAGAGGATTTAGATAGAGTTACTAGTAGTAACTAGGAGGAAACCCTATCCGCTTCTAAATCCCCTACTACTACTAGTAGTATAGAAAAGACTACCGCTAAGAAGTAAGTAACTAATTGCTACTTATTACTACCCTTAGTAACTACTAATTACTAGTAGCCCCTACTCCTTCTACCGGTCTACCTATAAGACTAAGTATAATCCTACTAAGGTTACTCGTTATATATAAGTTTAATAATTTAATTACTATCCGCTATTAGTTATTACTAGTAAATTTCTAATATATATAAGTCTAGGATACGCTAAATAAGTTTTTCGCCCTATTATTCCTAGATACTACTAGCGATTACTAGTATTATATCCCTCCGGAGGTTGCTTAATTTTTATTTTCTTACGTTTAATATACTTTAATATTATAGGTTACCTTGCTTATTACCTAGTATCTACTATAGTTTATTTAGTACCTAATATATAGTATAATATAAATCTTCTATAAGTCCCTAGTTATAGCCGGTAACTACTATTTAACTAATCGTAATTCTTATAATATAATATTAGAAATATAACTAATAATAAGTAGCTATTACTAGATATTACTAGTAAAAATAAAATTCTCTTTAATCCTTCGATATAGAATACGTATTACTTAATTCTTTATATTAATTAATAGCAATACGTTGCCTTTAGATATTATTTAAAATATACTTATTACTACCTTTTATTACTACTACTACCGGGAGTTACTAGTAGTAGCCTAAAACTATATATTATTATTAGAAACTAATATCTCTGATATTTATAGTATTAGCTTATAAATATCTATAATTTGATATATTTCTTATTACTAGTAGCTACTAGTAGAATTTTAATTATACTATGTTCGATAATACCTATAGCTATCTAGTAATAACTAGTAGTAGGTATAAATCTATAATAAACATTATTATATTTCACTTATAATATACGAAACACACCTAATAGCTTTAGTTAATTAGTTATTACTAGTAATAACTAGTATTACAACCTAGAGGGTGTAATCCTAATACGGGTACTCTACTAGTAATAGCTAGTAATACCTATAATCTAAAGGGAGCTGTAAGGTAATTTATGTATCAAACCGGCGGGCTATCAGGTGTCCGATAAAATACGAGCGACAGTTTGTTAGGGACGTTTTACTAGTAGCTCCAAGTTTACTAGTAACTCCAAGTGCGTTACTAGTTAGCCACACCTGACAACCTGACAGCTCGCTCGGTCGTAATTTATCTTTATTACCTTCTATTAGTAATTACACCCTACTACTACCCCCCTACTATGACCTACTAGGAGCAACTAGTAAATTACGACCTGACAACCTGACAACCTGACAACCTGACGACTACTGCGCCGGATCCTCCTCCCTGAAAGAAATGGTGGTTCTTGTTTACCTGCCCAGGAAAGAGTTTTTCAAGCTCCGCTCCGGCCCATTGTACCCCTTGAAACTAATTAGCACGATATTTCGACGTCTATTGTTCAATGGTTCTCACTTTGGAAGGCTTTTTCGGCGTCTGCCTTGTCTGAGGTCGGCACCCTATCAGGGTGCAGAATAGCCATCAGTTGCTTGTAATTAAGATTGCAGTTATCGGGAATATTCCTTTCCCAAGCATGTCGAATTGTATTTGGGTCATCTGGGGCACTGAGGATATCTGTAATCATACACCGACGGTCCGAATCGCTGGGCTTGTATGGCTCCCCTATATCGTATATGTCTATGTCGCCTGTTAAACCCCCGATAGGGAAGATACTTGGTCGCTTGTCGCCGAAGGAGCGGGTGGCTGGGCCTGCCCTAGTGGAACCGCCGGCTGGGTTTCCTCTGGAGGTACGGGTAGCTGGGCGTACCCTGGATCAATAGAGGCATGCCCTTTCTCTGGCGGGGCTTCGAGCTGGGCCTGCCCTGGTGGAACCGTAGCCTGGGTTTCCTCTAGAGGTACGGGTAGCTGGCCGTACCCTGAATTAATAGAGGCATGCCCTTTCTCTGGCGGGGCTTCGAGCTGGGCCTGCCCTGGTGGAACCGTAGCCTAGGATGGCTTTAGTGAAGCTGGACCCCCGCCGATCCTTCGGCAACATTAGCCCCTAACGTAGAACGCTTAGGTGTGAGACACTGACCATGTTTATTAGTATAGGTATTAGAAACCCCTCTATTGCTCTATAGTGTAGATATGATGATAGAAACACTATTTGTTATTTAATTCGGGCAATATTACTTGTTTAATCGGTTCTAGCATTTAATATATTAGCTATATATATATCTTCGATAGATAATAAATCGGGCGAAGTATTCTCTTTAAATAGGGTTGTATTATATCTATACCTTAAATTATAGCGAAAGGGTGGAACGGGCACTTGAATAAGTTTTCTTTTTTGAGGTTTAACTTTTGAGATATATAATCGCGGTTTATAAGATAAGAAGGGTAGAGATAAACCGTTTTATATCTTAGAAAGTCTAGCTAGTATAATAAAGTAGGTTTTAAATCCGGATAAAATCAAACGCCCTCTTTATTAAACTTTTACTAGAGAAGTATTAATACGTAGTAATCTGAGGTTCTAACGATCTCCTATATCTTAGCTCTCAATTCGCGTATTATTTGACGCGAATGCGCTTAACTTACCTATAAATCTAACCCTATATATAATACGGACTGGTTTAAAATGTGTTGACTAACCATACTATTAATACTTTATATACCGTTTCAATCCGTAGCAATAAGAAAAGCTTAATCTCTAAATGAGACCTCGACTTTTTGTCGGGATGCTTATTAGAAGCACCGAATAGAACACGTAGCCGTCAGTAGCTTTTTAGAGCGTATTAGATTAGTGGTCTATGTAGATGGAATTGTGATGCGCAATATTCGACTCTAGGTTGTGCTAGGAAACATCGTAACTATAAGTGAAAACCTTGATAGAAGCGATAATTCTCTCTTATATATCACACCTGTGCCCCGAGGAAGGATCAATATATCTAACCCAAGATATTACTGGTCAATTTGGCAAGTGCTTTGCAAGAAGCACTCGAGTAGTCGCCAGTTTATAAATATTCGCAAACCTGGCCGAGGATAATGCGAAAGCCCGGTATATGTATTCCCTCCGCGTGGCGTTGAAGCGTCTGCTTCCTCTGGCGAAAGCATATACATGTCTTCGTAGTGCTGGACACTAGTACGCAGATGACTGGTTGTTCTGGGAAAGCTAAGAGCTATCGTCGGGATTTATACTGTATAAGTCTATTTTACGAAGATTTGAAATTTAGTGTCACCCGAGTATTGGGCATGACCACAATCACCTGGGAATCTGGGAAAAATATGGGGAATAAATGTAGGAGATGAAAGTGTTAGGCGAGATTTGTGCTCACACCTGGAAAATTTTTTGCCGGTAAATTAACATGAATATTAAGTTCGGTCCAGTACTGTAATGCAACCATCATATAGATTATACAGTCACGCAGCGATCACGATACTGATAACACCATTAGATATTGTTAGTGTAGAAGAGATGGAACCTAGCCAAGAGGTGACAATATCAATTTGCGTCTCGACCTGTGGAACTTTCATGACTGACCTAGGGCTTGAACTTTGTGATGATTCCTTCTAGTTGCATCTGGAATGGACGGATACACCTAGTGCGCTTGAAATACTCTAGAATAAAAGGCTGGCAGGTGCCTCGAATCCATTCGCTTCTGGTCCAGTACGGTCGCTAGATACATTGTGTTTCACTTCTATATATTACCATAAGTACTCATGGCATTCGTCACGTTATAGTAGTGCTTCAGAGAGAAAGCCACCAGCTACGGGTGAAAGGGGCCAGAAAGAGCGACTCAGCAGCAAGGACACGGAAAGCCATCTGCAATTCATTCGCGTCATGTAATGCTAATGCTGAGGCTCAAGTCTGCTTTTCTTGTGAAGAAAGAGATATTAAACAACAGCAATACTCACAACTGCACCATATTTCAGGGTCCAGCTACTAAAAGCAGAATGACTTCACCACGATCCAAATTTTTCGCAGTACTGATAACTTTCTGAATTGCGTGCGCGGTGTCAAGACCCACTGGAATGCCCTCCGTATTATTGAAAATTCGCTGTCCTTCGACCGCCTCTTCGTTTGTTGCGAATGTGCATTCAAGTCGGCCATCTTGCTCCCAATGAACAAGCTCTGGTCCGACCGCAGGAAAGTTCATATCAGGTGATAGTGATTCGGTCGGAGGAATTTGACCATCGTCATCCTGCAGGATGTTCGTGAAAGCTCCACTGTAAACTCCTCGGGATCCAAAACAAAGCGCGGCCGAGCCAAAAGCTTCCACTCCAAGCAGTCTGACAGAGTCATATCTCAAAAAAGGATAGAAGAACCCAACTGCCGTGCCATTACTAGCTATCGATGCAGCAACCCAAGTTGGAAGTCTTCCGCATGCCTCGTTCAGTTGACGCATTGCTTGGCTGCCAATGATGGATTGGAAGGTGCGAACAATCAATGGATAGGGATGTGGCCCAGTTTCAGAGATCGAAATATAAAAGGCGACCTTGAAGCGAGTTGTGGAGGCTTGCATGGCATCGCCCGTGGCCTCGCGTAGTGACATGCTGCCTCTCCTGACTGTTTCCACTGTCGCGCCTATCATTGTGATTCTCTTAATCTCTGCAGGCTGATTAAGGGTGTCATTTGCGCCCATATAGATCCTACAGGCCATCCCTAGCTTCGCACACAAAGTAGCACACTCAATTCCATGACTTATGGATGCACAGGCAGTTATGATCTCCGTTTTGTTCATCCGACGCGCCAACAGTATCTGGCCAACGATATTGTATCTGCTGGGGCTTATGTAGCCGTTGAGATCTTCGCGTTTGAGCCATATTTTGCCACTGCCCGCCAGCTCTGTCAACATATGGGCCTGTTGCAACGGGCTCGGCTGGTTAGGTAAGAAGGTCCAGTACTCTTTCCAGAAGCCAACATCATTCAGGGATTTGTGAAACAATGTCGTAAGTTCTTGCAGAAATCCGATCTGGCTCTCTGGTGCGTAACGTCCTCCAAAGCTACCAAATCGACCAGTCGTGATAAGTGCATTCTCGTATGGTGTATGCCAATGCTCCATTTTGGTTTAAACAAGTCGAGATGCAACTAGAGGAACCTTAAGTGCGCGACCTGGCTATGAAGTAGGAACTGTCTTCCAAGCTTCTGCCAGTTTTAAAGAGTAAATTTATTATTTCGACTAGTTCCCAGTACAGTAAGGTCCCGGACCTGGAATCAATTTCTCAGTTTCGACTAGTGAAATAACTAACAATCGGGAAGCGACAACAATTTAATCTTTCATCCGGATACAGATTGGAAGATTTCCAAACCAAGCATGATACTCTAGCCGTGTACTTTATCTTCAATCACTGCGGGGTCAAGATACTCAAACACCAAACGCGTCAAGTGACGCACAAACTTGATTCACCAACACAGCTATGTCTATGCCCCAGGTGTAATTGCCTTGATTGATGAACTAGTACCGTACAGTCATTTCCTTTGATACTTGTCTTCATCTTCTTCAAATGTCGATGTAATTCTCTTTTCCACTTTTAGGTTGGTGGCGCTGGGTGTTAGCTAGACTTACTGTCTCATACCCCGGAGGGCATGCTGATTTGAAAAAGTGAATATTTCCATGGCGGCGCCGATTGAAAACGATAACGTGTACCACCTTAGAGCCGAACCGCATGGGAAGCCTGGGGAATATCGTAGACATGCCTTTGACCTTAAAGGTTGTGTCCGCAACATGTCAAGCTTAGTTTCCAAGATAGGTGAGTGATTAATCCATATCTGTAGCAGATGTGATTGCAGCAAGCTGGAAGTGCGATTAGTGTGTGGTGTCTGAGTAAATGAAGAACAAACATGATGCTATGCCAATACAGTTACTACTTACTAACTTTATATAACTGACCAATGCACGGACAGACTAGACAATTATTTGATTCCTAAAACAGAATCACGATGCAAGCCTAAAGCGCATCAAAACTAGGGGTACATGGCGGGTGCAGGTTCTTAGTGAAACGATCAAATCCTCAAGTACAGATGGGCAAATGCGCTCTCCTGAACGACTGAGCCGTGACAAATCCTCCAGGCGTCTATAAGTACCGTTGTGCTCGTCCAGTGTAGAGAAAATACTGACCTCAAAACAACGACCTGAGTACGTCCACAAGCGGCTGTATACTCAATGGCCAGCTATCGACCTCCTACCCCAATGCCCAAGGCTGTAGAGATGGATCACCCGGTATTGCCTCCACTGTCCTATGATATAGTAAATTATTGTCTTAGCTGACCGGTTACAGGAAATTCTTCGCACGATTGCGACGCTCAACGCGCGTAGTGTGCGCGCGGAAAAGATTATCGCGAAATATGAACGTGAGCTGGCCATAGAGCGACAGTCACACCGCGCGACCAACAAAGAATTGTATGAGACATTCAAGGTCGCCGAGCTTCTATACAACGTCAACCGTAAGCTTGGTGCTGCTACGGACTACATCTTGAAACAACAAGGAATGCCGCTAGACGACTTGGAACCCAAATCTGTCGAAGCGTTGATCAACTCGCTGGTACAGCAAGCTGAAGACGTACCGCGGCCAACATCCGAGGCTAATGGCGAGCAACTTGCTGAGAGTGCGGGTTCCTGTCAAGGAGAAATGAACAGTACAACCATGTGACAGTGGATATTGGCGAAACCTGAGACAAAGACCACATTCAACTGGTGGAGAGTCGATAGTACAGTATGTAACGGCAGAAATGAAGATGATTGTTTAGTCGTAATTTCTAACTCTCTCTGTAAAACTTCTGATAGAGTACAGTAACGCCCGTAACCGCCTTCCATGCCGGAAACGAAGAGATTCTCTTTCAAACCCTAATCACATGATCCGCTAAATCAGATATGACTACTTTCGTATTTTAAATCATGTTCCGGTGTTGTACGGATAGGTTCAAAACGAACAAGAGCTGAATGTACAATACTGTAAAATTTACACCCACTACAGCAAACGATTCTAGTGCTGACGTCATATACTTAAACCAAAGGCATATATAGTAGAATGATAGGTCCTTAAACATGACCTACTTGTAGCTACCTTAACCATGGGGTTCCCAAATCTTCAACCAATCTTGCAAAGCCTGCTGGATTCAGGTAGGTACTCAGACCTGACGATATCATGCGAAGGACAGAAGTTCCAAGTACATCGAGCGATAGTCTGTTCCCAATCACCCTTTTTTGACGCCGCAGTCAACGGGGGATTCAGAGTAAGTGCGACAAGACTTTGCCGTGATCACTACATATGGCTAACCATTTTTACAAGGAAGCTTCGTTAGCACATGTCGATCTACCCGATGATGAGCTAGCAACTATTCAACGGGTTGTCTCTTTTCTATACCTTCAAGACTACGAAGACACACATAGCTCGCACTTTGAAAATCGAAAGTGCGCTTCTGGTAATGATATGGAACCTCATGCAGCTATGTGGAACAACCTCGGAGTGTTCATGGCGGCCGACAAGTTTGACATATCGCCTCTAAAATTGCTTGCGAGATCTCGGATTATGGATTGGATCGACAAAAGCGCAATGAGATTTCCATTAATTGTCCAGGAAATCTGGGTCACCATTCCGCCTCTTGAGACCGAGCTTCGAGACGCCATAATTAAGTCAATTTCATGCCACGCGCAGGAGTTTCTCACTTACGACGAAAGTATGGTGATCATGACGGATCTACCAGATATTACCATTGCAGTGCTGAAGAAAATTGCCGAGGAAAATTGTTCACTCAAACTCAAGCTTCAACAACAGCAAAAAAGAGTTGGGCTGCCTCGATGGTGACTGGACGCGGAGTGGGGACGCGGGGGGGGGATTTATATGTAAGTTTACTGTGCATACATATCCACTGGCACGACTTGCAAGACATGATCATGTCGCCTCAAATATATGTTAGTCCTCAAATCCAACGGCGTTATCTGGAAATGACTTAAAATGTCCCAGATTCAGTGCCCCAGACCTCTGAAGAGGGGAGAATGCAATGAAGAGTAGTACCGTAATTCTGCTTTGTGACACCATATTTCCAGGGAGAGCTGCAGTCAAAAGTAATACCATATATGCCCATGTACATCGATTTGTCCTGGCCGCCCGATGTGTCTAATAAAGCTAACATGATAACGACGAATACTGTATGCTCAGTCGCATCTTAGATCCACATATCTTCTGTATTCTTCGAGAATACCAACATTTCGCTGATACCTCCAAGTTATTTGGGATGTAGATGGCGAAAATTATATTGATTGCCATTGATACATATTTTCAATCAGTACACTAGCCTGGCAGGGCGACAAATGGACTTGGACATGTCCTTTCCTCTTTTCCGAAGGGTACGACTACTCTATGCAAATTTTTGATAACATCATGACTACATAAGCTCAAATACAGCTACGAAGAATCATAAAGTTTTTTCATGTCGTAGATCGTAATTATCCGTGAAATGCAGACTTTTGCATTTGCTTGTAACCAATCTAACAATGATTGTTACCAATCTTCTCTCCAAGGGCTAGAGTTGTCAAAGGCCATGTACTGCATTAGTAGGGCGTACCGCTGCGTAGAATCTAGGTCCCTAATTTTTAGCTCCCTATACTTCTTACGCGTATCATTAGCCGGGTTTGTACTATTACATGTCCGTACATAACAATGTACTACACTTTACCATGTGATTAGCATAGAAGGCGACGTCACGGTACAGTAAAATATTTGCTGCCTCACTGTACCATTCGGCCTTGTGACGGATCCTTAAAATACGAAATTAGCCATATATGGCTCAGCACTACATGTGATTAAGGTTTTAAAAAGCTCCTCTGTTGTCCGACATGGAAGGCGAAAGCGGTCGCCACTGTACTGTCGAAAAACCCGCAGGCGGTTTGCCATAACGCTCTTGGATATCTAAACAATTGGAACAATCCTAATTCGTTTGTTGCGCTACTATTGTACATTAATAGCTGTTATTTTTACGTTGGAGCTGCCACACGCCCGACTTCCGCTCGAAGACTGTATTGGGCCGGCCTTGGGTTGTGTAGATTATTATCATACAGTGAATAATTTTTCCTTTAATACTTCTGCGTCACTCGTTCCAACAACGATAGGCGATTGATTGAGCAAAGTCTATAAGGCCTCTAGGCCTATGCGCAGTTATCTCCATGCCGGAGTTTAAGGATCCTTATCATTCGGTTCTAGGCTAGTGCTGTCTTCTTTCGAATGCTGACAGTTACGCAAAACCGTCGTCGCTGCAATGATCCCTTCTCTCGCCCGTCTCAGCTCAAACTCAAGCTGGTCGACTGAAGACCTAGATTCCTGTAGTTCTTTTCCAAGATTGCAGGTCTTTTCCTGCCACTCTCCGTCTTTGCGGAGCAGCTGTGTTGAGTATGCTCGGGTGCTTTCAAGCTCGATGGCGAGAAGTTGTTTTTCGTTTTCCAGCTGCCGGATTATCTGCGTGAATGACGTGGAACTAGCCTCGGGAGATTTGTGCTACCCTTGTCAATTTTCCGGTTTCACGACGCCAACAGTAGAAGAGACTTCAGATACCCACCTTATCACTTGATGTTGTGCTATGCTCTGCGCATTCCGGTTGGTGCCTCTGTGGGGTCACCGCTTCGAACGACGAGCCAACCTCCTCTATAATTTCTTCGTAGCGGCCCACCGTGCCGTTACCGAGAGTTTTGTCCAGGAGATATTCCTTACCCTGCAATACAGACCACGCGTATCCATCCTCAAAAGGTGGGTGTAAGCGCACATGTTGAGGGGGACTAACAGGCCCAGCCGTTCATCTGGAGGTTCCGTCAGATTTTTGTAGGATGTTTTCAGCGGGCTCTTACGAATATGGGCTGCTAAGGCCACGCGGCATTGCTGCCTGGCCCGGGCGCGCCTCTGGTTGCTCGTGAGGCTCATTATGACAAAAGCGTATCTCTTTACCCGATGACCAGATTTATTGTGCCATATGTAGGTCTTTCTCAGTGTCAAGTGGTATGGTGGCACAGGGCCATTAGCTATATGTATGCCGTTGAAATAGTCACTTAGTACTATCCGAATTTATCAGATCTATCCATTTCCTGTGTGACTTGCCCAATTAATTCGTCATTTGACTCTAATCACCTTTGCAGCAGTAGCTCGTCTACCGTAACAACCTCTTTAAACGCCATTATTCGATTGAACGCTTGAAGGCTATTTCCATAGCTACTATACAGTATTAGTCTGCTGAATAGTAGAACTGAAAAGAGGCACCAGCCATTATCCAACTAAGTCCGTCCCGATAGCTTCCGTTGTTGGACTACGTGAAGAAACTTTAGGGCCAGGTTAAAATCCTGGGAGAGGCTATTTTGTTTGGCTGCTGGATTTACAGTGAATCTTACTAGAAAGTTGAGGTCCTTCAGAATACCCTTCAAAGCCTGCTCGTACCTGTTCATCGATCGCATTTATATCTAACGGATTATGCTATATATAGACCAACCGACAATCCATTCTGATAGTGTCACATCGAAGCTGCGGGCGTCTTCCATCCGAAGCAAGAAGCATCATACAAGCGAACGCGTGTAGCGACGTCCCTCTGGTGGGATAAAGAACTCTGGATGCTCCGCTCCATCGCATTCATTCATTTCTTCCTAGTCCTTCAATCGCAAATGGCCCGAATTTCCAATAAACGGATGTGCCAGCCCAAGCAGCCCCCAGACAGCTCTCGCTATTTAGACTCTTCATCTTACACCCCACCTGTGCGAAAGGGAAAGAGGAAACATATTGAAATCCGTTCTCTTCATTCTCAGCGATCTTCCAGGAATGGTTGGCCAGTTCGATTGGGTACAGGAAGCCGGATCACATTGCGATTGACGCATCGGAGACATCAACGATACCAGGGCCGTGGTGATGCAGAAAGAGATAGGAGCGCACCTTTGTCTGTCACAGATCCCAGCGGTGGCGTGGACCATGAAGATGATATGTTAAGTAAAGGCAAGGATCGAGAATACTGGCTTCGACATCTCCGCCCTCGGTCTTCCCGAGACGTGAAGCCTGCAAAGGCGAAATCCTGCTAGGAAAACAAGTCTAGCGGAGACTATGCGGCTTAGCTGAATCTACCTGGGCCAGACTGTTGTATTAAACACTGGGGATATTTTTCCGTTATGTTAAGTAGAAATTGATTATTTGTGACTTGGTTTCCTGTGCCTTTCGACAAGGAGATCGCTACCCATCCAGACGAACCCCTGACGATGCCGGAGGCTGGCACAATTGTACTGTAACTGAGTTCATGGTCCAAATCCGTCTCCTAGACCAGTTTCAGGCAGTCGAACCAAATTTCTTTTTCTTGATTTGTATATTTTACGTTCGGAGACGACCAATCAGGAACACACCTTGGAAGTTTCCTTGGCACAGTTGTCCAGTGACCTGGAAACCATTTTCCAGCTGTTGGCAGGCATGACAGCACTCCCGCATAGCAGCACATGCTAGATCGAGCTGCCTCAGGAAAATGAATTCATCACCATGGTTTGGCCCATTGTGCAACGTTAATTTATGAGATGAATTGGCAGAGCTCACATTCAGATAGGTTGAAGGCCAATGGTGACTGACACATCTGGATCTAGCATTGCATGGACCAAAGGGTAGTGTAAAATCTCGAATACAAGTCCTGCTTCTGTCGCTTTACCTCCAGTCAAAATTGGCGGATACATTGTCTGATATTATCTCAAGGATGTGTATTTTCTCTTCCTCGCCCTCGCAACTGCTTGCGTCAAGGCTAATTCAATACGTAACGTGGTTGTTACCAACATATCATTTCCAGTATGTTGTCAAGGTAAACCATGCACCTATGAAAGGTTCTCTTTTTTGATTGTTCGTAGAAGATAGCGCCGATAGCCCACTCTAACGGTAAGAATCGGGTTGCTTCGTTTACTCCGGCCAGTAGTAAACTTGTATTCCAACCTGTACGCACTGCCTTTTTCACAGCGCAGTATGGCGAAGGGGCATGGGGAGTGGTTTATCGCGCGTTCGACTGAACGGCTGCTTACATGTCTCTGCGCAATTTCAGTGCTGTGACTTGAAGGGGTGGAACGTGAGTTAAAAATTATGTTTGTGTGATTTTTAGAGGAATTGAAGGCCGCGGTATCGTTCTACGGCAATAACGGGTCCCCGGCGCGCCCAGCTTACTTGTTCCATTCTAACAATATGCAGCCCTTTCGCTATAAATGCCTGGAACAGTGGACCCGTGAGTAGCTAGGGATGAGTTGACGAAACTTAGGGCTAACTTCAAGGCGGTTCTGGCCGCGGAGTGAAAATTGCCGCCGCAAGAGTATGGAAAACCAGACCCATGGGGATATCTATAAGTTGAGGTGCAGAATAAATAATCACGTCTGTTGTGATACATAAGGCTGATGCAGACTAGGAACTAAGACGCATGTTTGGAAATAATTCCTCCACGATGTACACGAAGAACCAAGTTGGTACCCAATCAATCACCTTTGACCTCAGGTTGTACATAGAAGCTCTCGCATCCCCAGTAGGTCATACAGTAGATGAAGCAACTAAGTATCATCCACAATAATCGCCGATCGCGCAACTTGTTGTAATGCAAATACGAGGTGGGTTGGGTCTCCTTTGTTGTGGAAAAGACAACCTGAACGCTAATACTATGACTGCCCTCACTATATATACAACAGATATTGCAATTGGACTGGTTACTACACACTGAGTAACTCTTTCCCGGCACCACCCCCAAGATTTGCTTACAGGGCAAATAATGTATTGAGAAACCCGCATCAAGGTAAGGGGCGGAGTAATATGCTATCTGCCTTATGTCGCCATATAGTACTGTGGCCATTAAAGTTTATCAATTAATGGATAAAGAGTAAACTTTAATCATACCTGGCAGGCCACAATGAAGAACCTTCCTGTTACCCATCATTTCTTAAGCGGCTTGCTCAATATTTTATCCAGGCTACAGCCTTGACGGTGGGAACAGGAAAGGGTTACGCAGTATGCATTGGTCAAACCAGTATGGAGAATAACCGTATGGGTAGAGATATAAATATGGCTCTCCCTATAAACCAAGCCCAGCAGCATCCATACACCTAACGAAGGCACCATGGACAGTCCCAATCGTGAGCTGGATGCGCAGCCCAGGCCACCTAAAGAACTACTGTGCCCACCCCTGGAGCACCAAGGCGCTTTCAGTATCTGTCCGTCAGAACCACCCACGGAGCAATGGCCGGTAAGTAAATGCTACAAACAAACTGTAAACCTATGCTCATGCGTTTCACAATAGTCGCCCGAGGGGATATTGCCGCAAGACACCCTCCTTCAAGCTCTCGACGAACCCTTTCAACTGTTGGCTGAAGAATCTATGCGATCAACTCAACCCAGCGCGCAGCAGGCTGCAGAGGCTTGGAGGCTTTACTCGACGCTATGTGCAGCTTACAATGCAAAAAAGGCAGAGAGCCAGCACCTTGAAAATGAGAACGAGGCGCTTCGCATCGCCAATATCAATCTAGTTGAACAGCAAAGAGCGCTAGAGTGCCACCACACTGATCATGAGGCTTTGATTACCTACTACGGGCAAATATTTGATAAAGTGAGGGGGAAATGGCGGGTGTCATAAGGGACTGGGAAAGCCCTCTTACTGAGGCTACTCCAGAGAAGGTTGATGAAATCAACGAAGAGGCATCTCGGAACACTTAAATAGTGTGTGATATTTCTGCGGAATCTTTACGTTATATTGTACAGTATTTCCGGAATTCGGTGTCACCCCCGGCACTCTCTCTTTGTTTCTGGAACCCTAATGCCAAGAAACACTAAACTACTTTTGGAAGAAGCTTGTTGAGCCTCATTGGTTTTGAAAGGGTTTTGAAGATGTATCGTAAATTACCGGACTATCATAATAGCGGGAAACATGTTTATTACCTGTAAGGCCAGAAGCTGCAACCTGAGTGCCCCACGTCCACTTTCCCAATACTCACCTGGTTTCTTGGTTGGCACTTCCACTGGCGGCAACGAACCATGGCTCCCAACCTAGCCAAGGCTACTCTCGTGTTGATTCATGATATGATTGCCAGTAATGAACTAACTACCTCGCAGATGGCGAAAGCTGCAGGCTGCAGCAAGCGCGCTATTATCAGAATCCGGTCTAACCTGCGACTATTCGGTAGTGTCAAGGCCCCTCCTATCAAACCTGGACGGCCACAGAGCATCACTCCGATTATGCTGGAAGCCCTATGTGACCATCTACTCGACAAGCCGGATTTATACCTTCATGAGATGGAACTATTCTTTTTGGATGAGTTCGAAGTATCTGTACCAAAGTCTACGATCAGCGATGCCCTGCATCGCAAAGGGTGGTCTAAGAAGACAGCTCGACAGAAAGCGAAAGAGCGTAACCCAGATTTACGTGATGATTACTGTCACCTCATCTCAGAATTCAGCTCTTACCATCTTGTTTACGTGGACGAATCTGGGTGTGATAAACGGATAGGGATTAGAAGAACTGGCTGGTCTCCCCTTGGTACAACACCCGTGCAAGTGTCGAAATACCATCGCGATCAACGGTATCAGATTCTCCCTGCATATACACAAGACGGGATTCTACTTTGTCGTGTTTTCCAAGGCGCGACAGATGCGTTATTCTTTGAAGGTTTTATTGAAGAACTCCTCCATCACTGTGGAAAATATCCTGCGCCTAAGTCAGTCCTTGTCATGGACAATGCATCTTTCCATCATTCTGAGAAACTCGAGCAGATGTGCTTTGATAAAGGAGTCAAACTAGTCTATTTGCCCCCGTACTCACCCGACTTGAACCCAATTGAAGAGTTCTTTGCGGAACTAAAAGCCTTCATTCGGCGCCATTGGCAATCTTACGCCGAAAATCCGGATCAAGGGTTCGACTACTTCCTCGACTGGTCTGTTGACAAGGTTGGGGCAAAGGAGCAGAGCGCAAGAGGCCATTTCAAAAACGCAGGTATTGATATTGAAGATATCCAGTGAAAGAGTTGACATAGGAACTATTCTTAGCGTTTTCTTTACTATGTACAAAACCGCCTAGGCTCGCCTTCTAGATTTAAACCCAGAGAGACTCTTTCTAGGCCCTCAAATCAATAATACTATTTTATACTTCGAGACTTACTATGGTGGTAAAAACTACTATTGTGATACTTCAATCAAATAGCAGCATATAGATAGCTCGGTACGTAATATGTACAACTTGCGAGAGGGGGAAATAGAAGGGATCAGGGTCGTGATCAATAGCTTAAAGAGATATTGCATTACACAACTGTCAAGTCACACAAACACATGGTTACTGTACACAGATAAGTGTCCCTCGGGTAATACGTCAGTATTCACGTTATATAATGATAATCATTAATATATTAGAGAGACTAGAGGAATACCGCAGCTACTAGTGCCAATAGTGCTAATTTATTGTCAGATAGTCATGCAGATCATTGATTATGAACTTTGCCCGTCGATTATTATCCCTCTTTCAAGCGTCCACTGCAAGAAGAAAGCCGATAGGGAGGAAAATAAAAGTATAAAATCATAGGACCTGCCCGTTCTTTTCTAACAATTGTGCCTGTTGCTTCATTTAAGTTGGCCACTCTATTAAACCGCCTATAAAGACCAGCACTGTCCTGACTCTTACGATGCAGTTCGTATTTATTCTCATCTCTATATTTGCTGCCGCTGCCTCAGCTTCCCCAAATAATACTGTCTCAACAAAATGCAAAGATACAAGTGATTGCGTTCGGGCTACTGGTGAACAAGCGGGTTTTCCTGCATGTTACACAAATACAACTAGTGAAATTCAAATGAAGGTGGCCAAAGCCAATGTATCTACGGAATGCGAGCTGCATGAAGTGGGTGTGATCCTTACTACTCGAATTACGGTCGATATACATAACTAACATCAGGTGCGTTGGAAAGAACGAATGCGTATGTCCTCTGTCACCGCAATGTCAAGAGGCGCTCGATTGCATGGTGGCTGCTCGGGCCGAAAGGTATGCGGCTGTAGCGGCATATAACGCAACACCAACTCGTCAAAATCAAATGAGGGCAGCCGAAGCCAATCAAGATATGGGACGCTGCCAGCATGATATAGTGCGTGTGATCCTTACTACTTGAATTACGATCCATATAGATTACTAACATTCGATGGGTTGAAAAGAACACGTTCTGTCCTGCGTCATCAAAATAGCGGCTCCGACAACCGAGTCTGTTGATAGAATTATGACAGGTATAGGAAATCGGACGCGTTGTAATGAAGGCGGAGGCTAGTCTATGGTGAACCCGACTTATACTGTACATTTGTGAAGGAGTTCCGTTGGTTTAAAGTGAAAGGTTGGAAAGCCTCTGGAACGACACAAAGCGCAGGTGGTGTTGAGCAGCATAATAATTACACGTAACTGTGATTCCTAGGAAATTTATTTCGGTGCGGGGTTTTTTATTCACGTTCTGTTGGTACCACTAGCTAGGTACCGTGTACACAGTTAACTGAACAGTTTCTCTTCCTAAGCACAAGTCGATTGATTCATCATCATTATCATCACTGTATGCGTCATCGACTGCATTGGACTCCTCCACTTCATCATCCGTGTCCAGATAAGGCTCCCTTTCAATCTGCCAATCTTCCTCGCTTGATGAACACCAATTTCTGCTGGGTGATGAGTTAGTTAGTTTCATAGGAATAGTCCAGGTCGGACTCATTTAGCTCGTCCCCATCCATCGAGACAAGGGGCATCCTGGGCAAAGCACTTTGTAGTGTCGATATGTCAAAAGTCGCTTCGCTCTGACTCCTACGCCGAAATTCTTCGTTGTGCTTTTCGAAAGCAGGTAATATTTCTTCTTCGTACCAATGCACATTTTCAATCAAATTTTCCCAGTCGCAGTGATGTACAGTACAACCTCATCGGGTGTAATCTCCCAGAGACAAAGATATTCATCTTTATAATAGAAGTACTCCCGTCCATACGGACCGGGCACTTCGTAATATCTTAATTCAGATTCCATTTCGAGCATGGGTAGAGCCTTGGCGATGCGAACGTTTGGGTTGATAACGGTAAGGATTCGGGGGAAGCTCGTCCACGTTCTCCTAGATAAGAATTTTCGCAGAGCGGAAACTGACGAAGTGAATGAGATGAATGGTGTCGGCTCCCATCGTTGGTAATTAGCATGTGTGGTTAGTGCCTTCTCTCAGCTTTGTCGCGAACCTAACTGCTCCCGAGGTAAACGCGCAAGGATCGGGAAAGCTAGCCCATGAGTGTCTAGAAAGTCCTCTTTCCTCAAGAAAAGGATCAATAGACTGCAGAAGCTCCAAGGCATAAGCCCTCTCGAAGACTGTAGCCTGCATTTGAATCGTGCAATAAAGTATATGGGATGTGAGGATTTTCTTAGGGATTTTCAGTTAAGAAAGCGACCACATCACTTTGTGATCACTAAAAACAAAATGATGGCTTACGGAAATTTGGGTTTGCGCTCACAAATTTACTCCGCGAGGAAGATCATATGAGACTTGAATGACGTCATATGTGAGTTTGGTTCATATCTGAAGTATGGCATTGCTTCAAATATATAGTTGCTCATTACTCTGCCATTTCAACCTCAGAAAAGCCTAATAAATATTGGTCTAGCCGTTCTTGAAATAGAGTCATGTGACAAGAGTTTGAAAGAGTTTCTCTGTGTCTAAAAATGATCGTATTGTATGAAAGACCAACTTGGGCGAGTCTTTACAGTACAACTTCAGTACACCGGACAGGAAGTATCGGTTATCGGCTCCGCAGCCTCACAAAAAATGGCCGTAGCCTATCTCTGGGGCCTCGTCTAGCTCTTCGGGCCCGGGCCACACATTGGAATTCCTCGAGAACCTGCGCTTCACTGAATCCGGCTTGTCTCCAGCGTGTGTCGATTCAAGAAGCTCCCAAGAGGTTTCATTTTTCGTGTATCCATGGCATGCAGTGTGGGTATTGTTGATAAGTTGTTTATCATCCTTGTAACAGAAGGTCAAATGCCAGCCTTTCGGGTCCTCTCCAGTCTGGCCATTAATAGTTGTGGTTTTATGATGTTTCGATCTGTACTCCAGGCACAGACAAATTAGTCATTGTCACAGCAAAGAGCCTTTGTCTCGAGCATGTTTCTACCGGATCAATATTTCACGCGGACTAGTTTCATATCTCTAGCAGTCTGATATGCTAGGGCCACGACATCCCGTAAATCTTTCGGATTCTTCGGCATTTTGCCTTTGTAAAAATAATATTTGACAAGATTGACCGTGGACATTTGGGTAAAAGAACGATATGTTGGAATTTTGACTGCTAATGTAAGTCTGTCCCAGAACAAGCCAGGGATAATTTCATGGCATAGATACTAGTCGATATATAGACGTTTCTATTAGGACCTCGCCAGGTGAGCACGGTGTCATTATCTCATTTGGTGATGAATACCACATAAATTTCTGTGCATGTCCCCTCCTAAGTTAGCGCTTGGAATTGGTCGTTCCCAACCCCTCGCATGGCTCTTAGCGACCAGTAAGAGAGGTCAGGGTAAGGGATACTTCTAGCTGCAGCTATAGCGCTAAGAACTGTCCAATCTAATTGGTTTGAATCGTACTATCGAAATTGGTGGCGCTTCGACGGTCCTACTGTGAGCATCGAAAGTACGGACGACATCATCAGAACTCAAAATAGAAGGAATACGTAATAGTACGGTATGTAGGAGCTAACTTAAGTTCTTCATTCACCGTATGGAAAAGATGGAATAATGAGTAGATTCAACTGCAGAACCTCGACACCTCAGGCGCAATTATTAGTCACCGGGCGGTGTGGACACGTTTACTCCTGGTGGGTCTGGTCGTTGAGCTGGACGCAGTCTGTGCAAATGTCCGTTTGTACTTACGTGAATGTTCGACGATCTTTTACGCAGCTATGCAGCTCTGTCTTAGTCCAGTCTCATGTTCGAAAGCAATCATCAATGTCCACTTTCAGCCCCCTTAATGCAAAGATGCATGGTGATACACATAGAACCAGCGAATCTCAATCATCGACTATAAGACCTGGCAAGACACAGTACAGGCTGATTGAGTATGTCGAAGACCTCGAAAGATACAGACCCGGGGGGTATCATCCCTTGAAGGTCGGAGATGACCTAGATGACGGTCGGTATCGACTTGTTGACAAACTTGGGTACGGAGGATACTCGACAATATGGCTAGCCCGTGATTTACATATGGCCAGATATGTTGCGGTAAAGGTTATCACCGCCGATGCCAGTTCAAATGCATCTGAGGCTAGTCTCCTATGCTCTCTTGATAAGTCGCCTTCTAAACCGGGACGAGAAATTATTCCGCCCCTCATCGAGCAATTCTGGGCTATCGGTCCCAATGGAAGGCATAGGTGTCTCGTCACTCTGCCGGCACGAATGAGCCTTTTCGATGCAAAAGAAGCTTCGTCTTTCGGTCTTTTTCGTCCGAAGGTCGCGCAGTCGATTATTGCCCAACTGATCCGTGGAGTCGCGTTTCTTCATAGTGAAGATATTGTACATGGCGGTTTGTGATTCTTACGCATAATCGCAGCTGGGTTGCATAACTGACGGCATCAGACCTTCATCTAGGCAACATTCTAGTCCCGTTTCCCGAAGCAATTGATCGTTTTCCGACGTCGGAGTTATACAAAAAATTCGGAGAGCCTGAGCCAGAGGCTGTTATCCGCATTGATGGAAATCCATTGTCGGAGGGTGTACCAGCTAGTGTATACATACCCGGTTGGTTTGGCACTTGTAGCGATGATATTATTTTAGGAGAGGAGAAGATCATCATTAGCGACTTTGGAGAATCTTTCAATCCGCACAAGACCCTTAGATTATCCTCAAAAACCCTCCCTATCCTGCAGCCTCCTGAGGCCAGATTCTCCGATGAGCCTCTCTCTTTTGCCTCCGACATTTGGACACTTGCCTGTACTATCTGGGAGATTTTTGGACAACGGCCTTTGTTCGAGGCTTTTTACGCTACTGCAGACCGAGTCACCGCAGAGCAAGTCGACGTCCTTGGTATCCTACCTCCTGAGTGGTGGAAAAATTGGAAGAGAAGGTTGGAATGGTTCAATGAGGACGGGGAGTTAAATTTGAAACCAGGCTCGTCTTGGGGTCAGGATGGCATGCGTCGGACCTGGGAAGACAGGTTTGGTTACTGCATACAGGATCCTCGCGCTGAGGCGGGCCTAGAGACCGTAACAGAGCAAGAGAAGAGGGCTTTCGAGACGATGATTCGATCGATGCTAGTCTTTCGGCCGAATGAAAGAGCGACAGCAGAGCAGGTTTTGCACTCCGAGTGGATGAAAGGCTGGGGACAACCGGCGCTTGAAGAGAGTAGGGCACTGTTAAACCAGTGATGAAAGCGAAAGATTGCGAAACAAAATTGACATCAATTCTAGACTAAAACAAATTATGCCGTTGGTAGTTGCTCTCTAAGAACTATATATTGTAACGCCTGGAGAGGTCACGGTTACTCTGCAATTCCATTCGTATCTCCGTTTCGCATCACCCAGCGGGCAATGTCGCTAACAAATCGCCGGGCGGCTCCTGCTTTCACGCCGTTTTTAACAAAAAACTCCGGATCTTGATCGTCGTGGATTTGTTTGAGATCCAGACAGTTTTCAAGGGCCACATCGCGGGCTTTCTGGATATTTTCCCTGAAGGTCTCACTGCTCACCCGTGATTGATGCCAGGTAGCATATTCTTTCACGGCTATATCGAGAAATCCAGGAATATCAATTGGATCAGTTTGCTTAGAAACTGGGTTCGTACATTCAGCGGTAGTTGGAGGGATAGGCACTTGAGATGGGAGATGAAGGTGAACTGAATGGCACGTGGATCCACATGTAGAGATGTCCGAGCTTTTCTTCCGTCGATCAAGCCGCTGGTTCTCCTCTGCATAAAGCTGTTCACGAAGACTATCGGGAATGTCGTCATGTGTTTCGATGACCCCTCCTTGCTGCACGTATCTGGTGAGCATCTTCAGGTGATTTGATCGTAATTTGTAATGTTTTTTCCCGTATGGATCCTGCCAGCAATACTGTCCTTCGTGGCGGCATGGAGGTCCAGGACAACGCATGATTCTATATACATCTCGCCAGACTTCATAACCCCCGGAAGCCTGCTCGGCGTCTATCTCGGCATCACGTTCCACGATCATTCCTTTAGTGACAGATGATTTTCCTCTCTTGTCGATTCTGGATGGAAGTCGGTCATGGTCATCTATATAGTTAATGGTTATCTGAATTCGGAGTTTCTTGCCAAGACGGTAGAGATTGGCCCACATCAGCAGCTGGTTCTCTACCGTGGTCCAATCAACACTAGCGCCTTCAAAGCGCTTGATAAGATCAGACTGGGAACGTTCATTTACAGACACCACTAGGTTGGTATCGTCTAGTCTCACTCGTCGGTTATGGGCTATCTTTCGCCGCAGAACATTCCCAGCCGTATCCTTTAGCCGCTCCCAGTAAGAACTAGGTGGCAGGGCCAAGTCTTGCTCTGTGTCCTTTGCCACCACACGGTTATTCAGTTTTACCCTCCACTCGATCTGGTAATGGATATAATCTAATCGCCGATCCCCGAGTGTTCCTCCGTTATCTACCTCACCTTCTTGCATAAAACCCAGTTTATCGGATTGCGGGTTGTGCAACGGTGATGACAGCTCACTGAATGTTATTGGCTCGGGGTCGGGGGACGAGCAGATTACAGATGGCGTCCACTCACGGCCAGGTGTAGGGGCATACGAGGGAGTCGGGTCCCGTAGATCAGGCAAACGAGGTCGGTAGATGTTATCATTATCGGAAGCAGCATAGGCCATCCCCTCCAAGCAGTAGAAACTACCGAGGAGCCTATTTATGATGCCATCGTACGTTAGCTGGAAACAAGAGGCTACAACCAGGCATAGGGTAAGAGTAGGTTTCTGACAGGCTGAGTACGGTGATCAGCAGGATCATTGGTCTTCTGTCAGTCGAATTTGGTAGATCAGTCCGTGCAGTCAGGTTGTGGGGTTGTAAGGTTGTAAGGTTCTAAGATTGCGGGTAAGCGCTAGGATTGCCACTCGGACGCGCTGCGTGGACGGAGAAGATGGCAAGTTGTCAGATCCGCAAGATCCAACATTGCGGGAGTTGTTTGAATTGTTTGCATTATGCGAGAAGGTTCCAGCAATACTCGTATTTGCCATACACACATAAGCATATGGTACGTAACTTAATTCTGTACGTGAGTGTATTTGTAAAATACCGGAAAATTGCTATTTTTATATTTTGCCCAATAGGGTATAGTGTATCTTGGCATTTAGGGTTTGGAGAACAATGAAAGAGTATATGGGGTGACACCGATTTCCGGAAATACTGTAAACGCACTTGAACAAGAAGCAGAACACCGGGGCTCGACTCAGTTTTGATGTTCCCAAATGCCCCACCACCGATTATGGTATCTCAGGTCATGGTGGACAGCCAATGTCGCGAATTACGCCGTGATACGAAAGGCTTCCTTGCCTGGCAATTGGTTGAATGTCACGGTGGAGCAGCGGTTCGTGTCTGACACAGTGATTTCCTTGGCCTTGGAATACATGGTGAAGGGACCAAACAGTTGAAATCAAAAGTTGCCCCTACGAACCCATAAGCATAAATCCTTGATTTAAGGTATACCTAGTCACCTCAAGTGATAATCGCCAACTGTGCAATATTGCACCGGGCACCGCGATGCAAAGCAGCACGAGGGCCACAGTACACGTGTTATTTGAAAGTCCTTGCAGCATATCTCGGCCCGAATGCCCTGGGCTTGATCGTTGTGCTAGCCAGTAGTAGCCCACGGCGATGCAAAGGTAATCGACGACAAAGATAACCGCTATACCAAATCGAAGAGGTAAGCGAAAATGCAGGCTAAGAAAATTTAGTAGCAGTTTGGATAATCCACTGGTTGCTACCGTGATACAGCAGAGCTTCTGCAGCAAGTCTGACAGTAAATCGAGTAGCCTGAATAGTCGAAGGAACTGTAGAAAGGCTATGCTTAGTTAACGGCCGTAGAAAGAGCATCCAAGAAGCCTACCTCAGCGGAGGGCGGAAATATCACAGCGATTCCGATTAAGATATGTTGAGCTAAAAATGAACGTAACTGACTATCAGCGAGCTGCCAGCATAACATTCAAATTCTGGTGTGCAGACCATTTTCATTATTGCAACTCCAGCTTAGCACTACTAGCGCGATAAGGGAGCAAAACGAGAGAAGATAAATGCCGAGGTCCAAAAATCGATATCTTCGCATACTAGGGAATGTGCGATACCACAGTGTTAGACGTAAGAGAATAATCATAATGCTTATAGTGTCAAGAATGCAGTGCGCGAGCCTTGGAATCTCCATTTTGGGCAGCTGTCTTGCCAATATCTTAGAAACAAACGAGTACTGGGTAACTGGAAATGAACGGGGTTAAATAGCTTGGTACCTACCCATTCGATATTTTTTTTCCTCGTCATGTCTTGCTCCTAGGAACCTAGAGATAGTCTGCTTGGGCGCCACATTATTGGACGATACTGCAGATAATTGGGTGAATTACCAGTGCCATGTCTCTAAACCCAGGCCTTTCTTTAACTGGCCTCTGTCAATTTCCGCCATGGAGCCACAGAATCACCTCAGACAGAATGGACTGTGTGAGACAGACTAAAAATAAACACAGCGCACGAATTTTGCAAAATCCATGCTTTAACTATTAACGTTTACGTCAACGGTAAGGATCTTCCGCTGTCTCCCTTCCCGATGAAAAGGTCCGCCGGAATACCCTAACCAGGGATCCTAATATAGTATTCTACAAAGTCCCACCACCAATTTAAACCGATACCTGCAGATTTATACTGTATCTACAGCAAGACGTTACAGGTAGACTCGTATATGATCATCGGTTAACCCACTTCCCTGTGTTCTGATCAGTCCATATTCCGACTGAGCTATATAGCACCATCGGTAAACATCATTTCTCGTCTCATCGTGACAGACCTTCATAACAGTCACGGATGCAACTTCGGTCTGTTATAGCTTAGCTTAGGTATCATGGACAAACCCCGACGTTCAAGCCTGGGTTTGACATAGCACACTTTTATAGGCTGAGCATCTTCGTGGAGGTTATGTGCCATGTCACGCTTTTCAAGTCTTAATGAGCAGGCAATAGTGACAATTATTCCCGCTTGGCCCAATGCGCACCAATAACCGGTTCCGGACAGTCCTTTGATTGTATAGGCTAATGGAAGATCAGATAACGGTCGTGTCCTTTTTATTTTTGGAACAGAAATATGAAATGCTGGCACCTGTCTAAAGTTAAATTTTAAGATCAAAGGCCCTTGCAGCCGCTTCTATATACGACGGCAAATCAAAGTTCTATTGGTTTGTAAGCAAGGAAGGAACAGTACGGCACTTACTAAGTAAACTTTTGCTGCTGTGGGGTATTATGGATGAGTAGACACGATGGAATTAGAGAGCCGCGAACTTTTTATTCTTCTTTTGCCAAGCCAGTGATGTGTGAACCAATGATTACACTGTCGTTCTCGGGAGCTTGATAAATTTACCGGGTAGGAAGAGCCCGTCTCTTTTCTCTCGCATACGAAGTGGATACGACCAAGCGGGCAAGGCCCTATTTGAGGACACCAGTGAGTGGAGTGTATTCTCGACCGTCTTTACGGCCATCCTAAAGACCGGTCTTTGAACGGTCTCTATCTCTTCATTGATGCATGAGGTGACTGCGATAATGGTATTCGTCCCCTTCTAGACTTAATTGTGCAAGAGTCGTCAGCTCACCAAAAGATAAGTGGATTTGTCTCCACCCGCAATTTACCTAAAATCATTGAGCGCCTTGATATTGCAACGGAGATAGCTCCGATATCGTTAGAGCTAAACGAGACATACGTGTGCGAAGAGGTGAATGAATTCATTGACCATAAGGTCCACGCTTTAACGAAGGTGAAGAGATATAAAGACAATACCCGTGAGACGATCGGGTGAGATAACCCATATTCCCAGGAATCGGGTCACCCGAGCCAAAACACTAAGCTCAAGCGCAGCACGCGATCAGCAGCCAGGTCCCTCCCTCAATGTAAGAGCACGCTCTCGCATTATGAGCCGTATCGCAAGGAAATACCGCTGCCACCTGACTCAAGTATATAGAACAAGTACATAAGAAACGATCTGATGTTTGCTATGCTCTAGTTAGCAGAGTACGCTACAGTCCTTGCAACCGCCATTTTGTTGAGGTAGACTGACCAACAAGCTCCTAGGAACTGTTAGATTGCCGAATTACGTGCATTTTCTAGCCTAGCGTGCCCAAGAATTTTCCATCAAAATATTGTTATCTACTCATTGGGAAGAGTGAGCGAGGCTCAGGATATGGATATGCTTTCTATCTGTTGTGATATGAGGCTGGTACAGATCAGGAAGCAAGCCGCTCCGTCGGAATTAGCTCCGAAGTGCCTATACAGACGACCAAGTTGATTTCCAATCAACTTGGCTCATTGTTGTATATATAGGCTCATGTATCCCTCTGAAATAACAAGACAATTCATACCTCTGAACTACAACACTATCATCCTTCAGGCGGTTTCGATGTCTGGTCAGATATCTAGCTAATCAGGCAAGTGATTCATTTGTTTGACTTGTTTGCAGGAAGTTGATCGTCAAATTTATACCGGACGGACTAATACGCCATTGATTTCTATCATTAAAGCCGCATATAGGAATACTGCCAAGAGCGGGAATCATGGGTAGATTACTTTAATAGGTATAGCGTGTTTTGAAAGAACTTATCCTGTATCAGATTTCGAATTTCACTGCACTTATTAGTGAGAAACAACCTCCCCAGCCTTCCCCGACTGTTCCGCCCCATATCTGAGAACGTGAGTCCAGAAGCTATAAGAGTTTTCCGCCGACCCCCTCGGCATTTTCAACTTAAGCACCCACGTCACCTGAATCACGATTGCCCCTTCACCCCTTCACCCCTTTACCCCACGACCACGGCCCAGCGCCTCTTCAGCAAAAGTTGAAAAATGAAAAAGCCTTTTATTTCATTACCCGTGGAGTTACTCTTGTTCATTGCAAGCTTTCTAGAGACAGGACAGGATATCAGCTCGTTAGCTCGAACTTGCCAAAAATGCTATATCTCCCTCCATTCCTTCGTCTATCAGCACAATTCGTTGAACCTAGGAAGTTCCGCTCTGTTATGGGCGGCCCAAAGTGGAATGGAGTCAACAGCTCGTATCAGTATTCAAAGTGGAGCTCATGCTGGGGTTACTGATATCCACGAGCACTACAAAACACCACTATTCTGGGCTGCGTGCAAGGGTTACGAGTCCGTGGTGAAACTCTTACTCGAAAAAGAGCATGTTGATGCCGATTGCAAGGAATCCAATGGCGAGACACCCCTGCTCGCAGCTGCTCAGCACGGTCATGAAGCGGTTGTGAAGCTTTTACTTGAGACCGGGCGTGTTGATGCTGATTCAAAATATACCTACGAGACACCGCTGTTCCGGGCCGCGTATGAAGGCCACGAGGCGGTGGTGAAACTATTACTTGAAACTGGACGCGTTAATTTGCAGCCAAAGGACGACCCCAATGGTTGGACACCGCTGTATGTCGCTGCATGGAATGGCCACGAAGCGGTGGTAAAACTCTTACTTGCGACCGAGGATATTGACGCAGATTCAAAGGACTCCAACGGCTGGACACCGTTGTTGCGGGCTGCGCAGAATGGCCACGAGGCGGTGGTGGAACGTGTACTTGCAACTGGGCAAGTTGATGTGCAGCCAGAGGAAGGCCCCAGCGGTTGGACACCACTGTCCGTCGCCACGCAGAATGGCCACGAAGCGGTGGCAGAGCTTTTACAGTCTCACTTCGTCTGGACCGAGTGGCGAAGCTTTTGGAACCGGGCAGGTTGATAAGTCAAGAGGTTAATAAACAATATAGACGGGTTTAAATATAACACTCTCATGATGGTTCATGCTTTAAAGGGGCTAGATTGGGCGCCATCTTGGTATGACCTGCGATTTGATGTTAAAATCTACCTCAGACAAAGAACGAAGGCTTCCAAGGTGGGAGTTCGAGATGCCAAGTAGGTCAAATAACAGGCTAGACTAGTCTGTCTTGGCAGTTAGGGTTTGAGAAACAGTCAAAGAGTACAAGTGGTGATACCAGTTTCGGGTAGTCACCTGAAAACCCGCCAATACAGAAGTCGTTGGAAACGAAACATCACGTTTTATGAAAGGAGCGAGGCCCAATAATCTAAATTCTCATGATGAACACCGGGTGTTTGGAACCAGATTTTTACTGCGTATCATTATGACATAATCACGAGGCCCCGCAGGAACGTGTTGCTTATCAGTGTGCCTAATCATTCGTTGACATGATATGTGTCGCGATTGTCCGCACAATATTGATTAGCCCGGTAGCCACCTTTCCTCGTTATTGAATGAAGTATATATCAGGCTCAATGAACCTAAATGTATTCTTAATCTACCTAACATACAATAAAAACTACCAGCATTTTCACGGAACTTACCAAAGGATCCTGCTAGAGGGAGATCGGAACCTCGTAATCAACTCAGTACTATGATCCCTTCAAAACGAAGGCGAGGATCATCCGCAGACGACTGTGTCAAAAGGCACTGCACGGAGATTTATGGAAATGTCTCACCGGGGGAACCATTGTCAGTCAAATGTCAGGTAAATTGAACATGACTACGGAAGCGTGGAGTCTTGTCTAACCGAGAAAAAGGCCCTCACTCTCACCAACATTGAACTCATTTCGACCGAGTTGAGCCGTTTGGAAGAGACGCGCCCTACATTGAACCCTCAAACCGTTCGCCTTGTTAGTCTTCTCACAGAACTGTGGGATTCTTACATTACAGAATGTACCAGAAATCGGGATTTGCAAATGAAATGGCACATGCTTCAGAGTTCGAACAACTCGCTTAAAGGGAGAAATTCCGAACTAGAATCTATCTGTATCGTTAGAGGTGGGGTTATCCGTGATAACCAGCAAGCTTTGCAGTCGGTTCGAGAAGGTGTCTTGAGTCTTTTTCAAAGCATGCATGGATACCAAACATTCCTATCATCATGCAATTAATATTACATAATGCCAAATTGGAACTATTCTAGTCAACGTGAGGCTCCACATGTAATACATACAAAAATTAAATTGATGTCAAGTTTTCACAATCGTGGAATACTCGTCTTAAGCCACGACCACACCCACCTCCACCCCCAAAAGCCCCCAGAACAATGACGAATACTAAGCCGACTTAACGAAACCCCCGACAATGTTTTGCACGAAGAACTGTGGATCCAGGATGGAGACAGCCAAAGTTGGATGGTTGTTCAAAATAGGAACCGCGCTTCTCGTAGCCATGATAAACCCTGATTCTTGCCACGGGTATATATGCAGTTGATAACGACGTTTGCTGGGGCCGTGACCTTGCCGAGTGATAACATCATTTATCTGTCCCTTCACGCGGTTTAAATTACCCAGTACAGTTTCGAAGCGAGGGACAAAAAAAAGGAACTGCTCGGTCACTTCGTTGACCTCATTGAGGCCACAAAGCCGGAGCTCTAGCGAATGTACTTGTTCCAAGAGCAGAAAAGCAGATGCATAGAGAAAAATGTCATTCGCAGATGTACCATGATGTAATGGGTCAGGTCCTGGCCAACTGAAACCGGTTTCGCTCTCATAGCTAGGATAAAATATGACCTCAACGAAGTGTTGTGTTTCGGCTCCTGGTGGAAATTCGTCGTATGATGGGGGAGCCGAGAGTCCATAGCCGGCTGCTAGGACAGGTGGTGGAGCAGGGGCATCAGGAAACTCGCTCCAGATTGTTGTCGGGTCGAGGTCAAAATGATGATCTAAAAGGACCAACGTGAGAAGTAGGATTCCCTGCGAGACCATTCTTGTACCAACCAAGCTCAGAGTCCTCTTGCATATTTAAAGCTGCCCTTAACGCAATGATATAACAATTCAAGTGGTTCGTAATTTTCGGAGTAGGCGAAAAAGCGGCTGGGGATGTCGAAATGGGGCTATTTAAGTTCAAAACTGGTTGCTTGATAAAGGGGCCCGAACAGTAAAGGGCTGGTCTGGTTAGTACATTTTCTCTTAACTCAATGCGGATTAATACGCTATGGCCCTTGCAAATGCTGTTATTGCCATTATTTCGGATAACCAATGCGGCAGCGGACTCTAACAAGTATGGCCACGAACATGAAATATCACGAAACACCACAAGAGCAATGAGGAGAAGTGAAACGTCGACTCCCTTTCGCTCCCTCCTTTTTGCTCAGGCTGTCGCTATACATGAGATAGAGTCACGGCCGATGCCCAAGTCAATTAATACAATTATCACGTTTGGTTAAGGGGCGGCCGCAACCTACGACATGGCTATTCAGCGTGTACTCGCCCCGCTGCGAATTTGTAATTTGTACGCCAAGTGGAGTTAGAACACATTCTGCAATTAATTGATTGTTGTACCATCAGCATCAGGCCGTGTGTATAATTGGTTCTTAATCGTCAGGAGCACGTTATATGTAAAATTATAAGATAGGGTTTAGTATATTCTGCAACTGCAGATATCCTGTTTTGACACCGGCAAATGAGGCAGCAGAAGGTAAGGGTTCTGCCGCTACTAATATTGGTATAGATACAATTTGAAAGCCAACCTTCCTTGCGTTTGCAAAGTAGAGTCGAATGTTTTGATTTCCCTTGATAACATTATGCCAATCAAACTTTGATTATGTGCAAAAAAGCTTGAACCGCGGAGTGAATTTAGGATTGGACGATGAGTATCGGGAAACCAGCCTGTAGGCGCAGCTCTAAGGTTTTGCGGTGAACCGTGGGTGGCGAACTCATTACAAAATAAATTAGCCGAAATTTAGATCCTAAGCTTTTTTGACAGAAATCTGACGTATTGAAATGTATGCACCTCAGGGCTGATATGGAGAACTCTGCATTTTCTACATAATAGAAACTGCTGTTTCTGTGCGGTTATGACTAAGCTAGATTACATAATCTATATGGTATCATCCCATGTATGCAACCTTGCAATTTGACACACCCCCCTAGCTCTTAAAGCCTGCATTTTCTTGGCTTTCAGAGCTGCCAAATCCTTCATTTCTTTACTTCTTCTGGATGAATCAGATGCCTGATTTCTCTCATCCCAATCATCTCTCGGAAGAGATGCTGCTTCTGTCTTAGAAGCGCCTTTGTAAGTCCATCTGCAGGCATCGCTATAGTTAGAACCCAGTCCACATTGACTCTACCTATACTAACTTCCTGCTTTATCTAGGATCGATTGATATCCATATGCCGTAGCTTCGTATATATCGTCGATCCTTCCTTCGTAAGTAGATCGACCGTCTGCTGATTGTCGTATATAATAGACAATAGGTGATCTAGTTGGAAGCTAAGTGCTTTAAGGACTCTGCGCTACTATTAGACGGTTTTTCCGGCTTCTGCTAGTATAAGAAGCTCTACTTTAGTTGTCGACGTAGTCACCGTCTTCTATTTAGAAGCTTTCCAATCGATTGGACCACTATATAACTTATAGATATAACCTTCCGAACTCTTCCTATCTTTGTTATCTCCGAAAGACGTATCGCTTATAAATTCAACTGATTTTATAGCTAATTGGATACCGAGGTTTTCTTTTCTAGTGCTATATTTAATAGCCTAGAACCTAGTTTTATAAAGGTACTAAATCACTCGGTTAATAATATCGATATGCTTCGGACCGGGGTTTATTAGAAATTTAGCTAGTTTAGCTGTAGCTTTTGCTATATTTAGCCGGGAGATAGTAGTAGTATACTAAGTAGATCTAACCTTAGTCTAGAAACTATGAATCTAACTCGGTGATACTACTCTATCGAATAGAAGAAGGGGTTTAATCCCCGTCCCTATGCTTATTAGGGACCCTACCTTCCTAGTAGTAATTAAGCTATACTTAGCTACTATGCTTTTAATATAGCTGTTTTGGTATAGCTAGAGTTTTATCTAATCTCTATCTCTAATAATACGGATATTTAAGAACTAGTTTACTTTTAGTTCTCGTAATTCCTATTGCTTCTTAATATCGTTATCTAGCTTAGCTGCCTACTTAGTATACTTTAGATAATTTATAACGATAATATCGTCTATATAGAAGAAGACGATGATATTATTCTTAATAAAGATATACGGATCTTCTAGTACCGGGGTAAGACCTAGCTTTACTAGTATCCTTATTGCTTCTTATTGCTATAATCTTAGTAATATTTGTAAGCTATAGAGAGCTCTATAGAGCAGCTAGTATTAACCTTATGTTTCGAATCCTTACGGGCACTTAGTATAAACCTTATTTTAGAGTACTAAGTTTAGAAATATAGTAACTACGTCTCTCTATATTATATTAAGATTGAATGCTACTACTAAGGTAAAGATAGCTCTCGCTATTTTAATAGCTAGGGTAGCTGCCCTTTTCTCTTCTATCGATATCTATTAAAGATTACCTCTAACGTAGATTCTCGCTTTGAACTTCTCGAGAAATCTATCTATATTAAATTTGTAGGTAAAGACCTATTTTAAAGGTAGTACCTAGATTCCTCTCTAACTTTAATTCGGAATAGGTATTTTAGTATAGGTTTCTTTCTTTTTAAGCGTCTAAACTTCGAAGCTTACTGCTACTATAAATCCTTCTCTAAACTAGTACTTCTTAATTTATGCCTAGTTCTCTAGTGGCGGGGGAAGTTTATCTCGGTAAAGCTTTTTATCGAATCTTTTGCTTATGTCTATAGAGAAGGTATAAAGTAAGCTTAGTAGATTAAGAGATAGGTAGGTAGTATAATCTAGATCCGTCCTTAGCCTCCTAGATCTACTACTTATAATGATATTTGATATATCGATATTACCTAATATATC